CGTGAGCAACTCAACTGGCTTCTTAGAGAGGATGGGCAAGAGTCTAGCAAAAGCTGACATGAGGCAGCAGAATCTGACTGAGTTCTAGACTTGGGAGGCAGCGGAGCACAGTGGGAAATGCATGGGCATTGGAGTCAGCCAGACCTGGGTTCAAATTCCATCTCTGCTATTTATTAACGGTGTAACCTTGGGCCAGTCACTTACCTTTTGTGACTGTTTTGCAGATTCAATGGGGTGATACAAGGAAAGACCCAGGCATATAAAAGGGCTCCATCAATGGTAGTTACTGCTGTGGGGTTTTGTTGTTGTTAGTACTACAGTGGAAATGACTATTGACGGGGGGCATTAGTAATGAAAAAATCAAATTAGGAAAAACATTTTTTAATTAGTCAAATCATTCCTACTTTTATTACCTAGCATTTAATTTACAGCTATTTATGTTGCAATTAGCTTGGCAATCATATTTCTCATTCATGACAACTGCGTGAGGAAGGGTAACTATTACTCCCATTTTTTAGATGAGGAAAAGGCAACATTTCCATCTATTCTGTCTCCAGTTTCTATGATTCTATGATTAAAGGCACCTGCAATCATGTTCATTAGTTCCCTATGAAAAATGATATTCAACACAGATGGCAAATGCAGGAAAGAATTAACAAGCACTTGATAGCAACCCCAAAATAACATCTAAATAATCACTTCTGAACATTAAAGTCATGGCGAACAAGTTCCAATTTTTATAAAGGTGTTGGAAAGGATTAAGGAAAAATGAACAAATACGTTTTTATTTATCCTCATTCATTTAGGAAATGTCTGACACAGCTTAGAAGTTCTTTTTGAAATGCAGACTGAAAAATGGTTAATTTCCTCTATGAAGGATCTTCAGTTAGCAGATAGGAATAGACTAACATGTCCTGATATTTTATCTTGAATCAGAGCTACAAAGTAGGAGAGATCTGAGATGGAGAGCCAGTTCAGGGCTTCTCAGTCAAGGTCCCTGAGAAGCCCATAGACGCGGGCAAGTGGCCTACAATTCCGAACATACACCAAACACACCCAGGACACTGAAGAATGGCTTGCCTTAAATGTATTTTTGTCACATGTACAGAATTCCCATGAACGAAATACAAATGCCTCTAGAGGGACCACTGAATTCAGTCACTATATATAACAACTATTACATGGGCTGTGGTGGAGGAGGGCAGTGTCTCAATCTTTTGTTGTTGTTTAAAAGGAGTCTTCATAATGAAAAAGGCTGGGAAACCTTTTTCCTAACACTGATCTAGCCCAACCCTCTCATTTTATCCACGAGGTCTCAGAAGATCTTGGGGACAGCTGGGACTCCAATCTAAGTTTTCTAATTCCCAGACAAATGGTCCTTGTCCCACACCATACATCCCTTCCCACGCAGCAACCCCATTCTCTTTCTAAAGGAGGAGAGTATAGTCCTACCCTCTCTCCCTGGATATGTTCCAGAATTTTCTATATCTCCTGAGCCTTTCCTTCCCTTCATTTCCCTCCCCTCATCAGCTCCCAGTTTACACCTTTAGGGTGAGTAGCATTCAGTCCCTTTCAAGCTCTGACACTCTGTAAGTACCCGTGGACAGTTAGTCTCAATATGAAATGGAAATATAGTCACCAATGTACTGAAACAAGGAGTGTGTTAAGTATATAAAATATGCATACGCATAAATGTATTTTACATCCCAAACCCTAGTACTTCTAATGTCTATGGAAAAGAAGAAAATTGGAATATTCATGAATAATAATTTTACTTACTCTGGATCTGTCAACACCAATAGGCCATTAAACCCCTAGCACACCAACTTTTCAAAATGCTTTCACGTCTATTATTATTTCAGTTTATTGTCCCAATGGTTCACTAGGATGTAAGTGCTACTGAAGTGCCAATAGAACTTAAGTGGCACAAAGAGAAGAGATGTTATCCATATCCATTTTATCCACTGCTTTTCCCCCAGGGCCTAGAACAGTGCCTGAAGCATGGTAAGCATTCAATAAATATTGGTTGATTGAGTGAATGACAGAAGTAAACAGGGAGGGTAGGTTTATTTATTTATTTAGGCTTCATTAAGTTTTGTTTTTATTTGAGGAGATGGAATGATCCATAAGGGCAGAACTGAGTTCCTAAAAATCTCTTTTCAGTCTTCAATTCTCCTATAACATTTGACTTAATATCCTTCCCTCAAATATTTTTTCCCTCAAATATTTTTAATGTCATTCTTCAAAGTTATATAAGTAATACACTCATTTCAGGAAAATCAGATACCGCTAATATATAAAAAGAAGAAAATAAAAGATCCCATCACCTAAGGATGACACAATTAACATGCAAATGTATATCCTTATAGACTTTATTCCATGCATGTGTACACACACAGACACACACATCTGAGAAAGTCCCCAAACTCTCTGCCCTAGATTCCGGGCTGTGGATTTTTTTCTTTTTTCTCTAAGTCCTTTTTGTTTGTCCCACTGTGTCCTAAATAAATTTGTTCCCCAATACTTAGGTCCTGAGTTTAAGAGGATTGGTTTCCCTTTTCCCTCCAGAGGATTCATCTAGTCTTATTCAACTTTAAATTCTTTGTGGATGTCTTATATCTGTGTCTTCAGTCCTCCCATTCCTCTGGGATACCTCAAGCTTCACACATCTACAACCAAATGTACCACATTTCCTCCATCAAAACCAGATCACTCTCTCACTTACTGCATTTCTGTTAACTGAGACAGAATTCTACGAGTTATCCTCTAGGGCGTCATCTTTGGTTCCCCCACCCCACATCCAATCACTCAAAGTGATTTTCATCCTTCCATCCTGTCTCGTCCTTCTCTTCCCATTGCTACCATCACTGTTTAGGCTCTTACATCTATTTTATCTTCTACCTGAGTCTCCTGCTTTTTGCATAACCAAACAACCACCAAGCCTACCTACTGCTGCCAGTTAGCCTCCTCCAACACTCAGGAGGCTTCCATCTTGCCTATCCTATATTCAGAAGTTCGGGGGTGCTCCCCACTCTTACAGAATGGTATTCCAGTTCCTTCACAATCTCACCTCAGACTACTTTTCCATCCTTATTTCTCATTGTTCCTGAAAATAAAGGCTTTGCTCAAACCAGCCCGGGGTACTCATTATTCACAAAATATCCGACTGTGAGTTAAGTGTCTATTATGTGTAAAGTCCATCCATTCATTCAACAAACATTTACGGAATATCTATTCTGTCAGGTAATGTACTGATGCTGGGGACGCGACGGTGAACAAGACAGATCAAGTCCCTGTCCTTAAGGAATTTAGAGGCCAGTGGGTTACAGAGGGGAGACTGAGACATGATGGTCCCAGCCCAGGATGCTTAATTTTCCATTAAAGCGTCAAATGAATCAAGACATCCTTAAACGCTGAATTTTGTGGCTGCAGCTGCAAATGGGAAAGGAGTTCAGAAGGAAGAAAAGGCTGGCCACAGTGTGAGCTGGAGTGTGGACCGTGGCTTCTTTGAAGATATGGGAGTCAACAGGCATTAAAGGATGGAAAGGATGGACGTGTGAGAGAAGGGGGTGCCTTCCATCTAAAGGGATATGAGGAAAGTCATGTGGTGGGATGGAAACAGCAGCAACAGCGCTGACTTATCCTGAATAAACGTTCATTCAACACCTATTCAGCAGAGCACAAGCTCTGTCCCTGCAGCGAGGGAGAGGATGACTCAGACTCGGCTCCTATCATGCAGGGATTTCCATCTAGCAAGGATAAGGTAGATCCATGATGATCCATCACACCCCAGAAAGTTCCATTGTTCCATTAGAGAACTGGAAAAAACACCGAGGGAGTTCAGAAGCAGGTGCATGTCTGGGTTCTTAGAGCACTATTTACAGAATCACATTATTTGTATGCATCTGCCTGCCTCTATCGAAAATAACTACCTTGTTTCAAAGTGTTTTCTCACTCACTTTCTCATTTTACTCTGCCTTGTGAAGTAGGCAGAGTAGTTAAGATTGTTTTCCAGATGAGCAAAAGTGCAACATGAACGTTTTAAATTGTCTGCCTTAGGTCACGAACACCACCAGGCAAGAGTGGAACAAGAACCACCCTGTCCATCTCAGCCCTTTCCTGCTGCAGAAGTATCTAGAGCAGAGGGTGCGCATTAAGAAGTTGTATAATTGCACGAGACACCTAGCAAGTGTAATAAAGCCAAACAGGCAGTCTGGATTTAAAAGGGCAGGATGCAGGCGGCCTCTGAAGGTTCTGAAGAGAGAACAGGACCCAATGACAGTCCTCCATTCCTGCTTCTCCTCCTCAAGTCTGTCTGTAACACCCCACCCTAGGCCTGTCCTTAAGGTTCATCCCAATTTTTTTCTGCCCACACTGTTTTTTTCCCTCTACGGAAAAATTTCACCCCACTAGTCCCACTCATCTCCCAGGGGAGGGCGCGTGGCCGTTCTCTCCTGGACCTCGCAGTACGCCCAGCCAGCACACCGCTCTGCTCAGGGCTGGTAAGTATCTGCGGAATCACTGAATTCCTGGGTCCTCCACAGCTTAGTAAGGGTACCCAGAGTTCTTACAACCCTCCCCCCGAGAGTGGGCCGGCACAGGCCGCCGCCCGGAGGAGCTCCCCGACCGCGAGGAACGAGGGGGTGGTTGGGGAAAGCCCGATGGCCTGAGTCCCAGGGCCACCGGGAACCGGCGCCACCCGAGGTTCGAGTCCCCAGCTGGAAGCCGGGGCTAACCCTCTCACGCCTCCGCAAAAAGCGCTTCATGAGAGCGTTAACTATTCTTCCATCTGAAAACCTTCGGGGAAGGAGTGGAAAACGACGCCGGGAGGGAGCCGGTCTCAAGAGTCAATGAACCCAACCCCGTGGGCCAAACCCTCAGGGAGAGGGAGGAGGGAGAAGGACGAAGTAGCCATTCGCTACTCCGGCTGCGGGAAGAACGTGAGGCTGGAAGCATCGCGAGATCTGGAGTCGGGATCTCGCTGCGTTGCCTAGCGACTGGGAGGACGCTCGCGGGCCCCCCAGCTAACCCCCGCTGTAGGCTTAAATCTCCTACCATGGGGGAAGAAGGCGGCGGCCGCAGCTGTGGGACCACTAGGGAGCTGCAGAAGCTGAAGCAGCAGGCGATGGAGTACTACCGGGAGAACGACGTTCCGCGCAGGCTGGAAGAGCTGCTCAACTCCACCTTCTACCTCCAGCCTGCCGATGTCTACGGGCACCTGGTAGGGACCTGGGACAAGAACCCTCTCCTCTCCAGCCCCTCTCCCCACGCCCCGCGCTGCGGCAACGCCGTGCGCCTGCGCCACAGAGTCGCGCACGCGCGCCGCCGCCGCGGGGGTCGGGGGCTGTAGTTGCGCGTAGCCGCGACCCTGAAGGGAAGAAGCAGGGCGGAAGTCTGGGTGAAGGAATCTCGAGAAAGTGGTGGACTGGAAGCTGCTAGAGGAATGAGGACTCTAGGCGACAGCTCAGGACCTGGCAGGCATCCTCGCTACCTCTGGGCGGGCCTGCCACGGTTGCCAGTTGACTTTTTAATCACAGACCTTAATACCTCGTAGCTCAGTTTACCAACCTTCAGCGGCCTCCTTTTGACCACGGGACGAACACCTCGGTATTCGCTACAGCTTAGCCTCAGCCTACCCCGGGGCCTCATACTCAGCAGGCTCCCATCGTTGCCAAGTTTCAGTCGATTTCAAATGTCCGCTCCTTGACTTGTGCGCCCTTCCCGTCCTGGATGCCCGTCCCACCCGACCAGCTCGCACCTAGACTTAAAATTTAGATCAGAGTCTTGCCCACTTTGCCCAGGACTAATCGTCCTTCAGCGTCCTTGTAGCGTCCCCTGCATGTACTGAAATCCTCCCTGGGCAGCTTGTGAGCTCCTGTGGAGAGCGGCGGCCTTTTCATATACCCCTCCTAAGCCCTGTGCCCAGCGCACCATCTGGCACACATCTTAGCCTTAAGCAGTGGGCAGTTGAAACAAAGGCAAGCGTTTTCTCACTTCCAGATCCATAAGTACTAACCAACACCCACCTTCTGGAAGGCATCATGGTTGGGACTGGTAGGAATTTGCACTATGGTGAGGCAATATGCCAACACCAAGCAGAGTATTTAAATGCTGTGAAGAAGCATGATGTGTTTACAGGGTTCAAAACCACATCTTGTAGATGCAGTTAATATAGGGGATGTTCTACGAATGTTTATTTTTCTCGGTCCTGGCCTATACATCAAACTGGGGGAGGGGCAAGGGGGGAGGTGTTTATCAATGCACCTTGTGCTATGTGCTTTATGTGATATCACTTCATCCTTAGGACCACGGTGAGGTAAACGTTATGATTCCTGTTTACAAATAAAGAACTGTGGCCCAGTGAATTTAAATGATTTTCCCAAGGGACACAGTGAATGACAGTGAGAAATCAAACCCGGTCTGTTTCCCTAGTACCTAGTAGAGTGCGTAGTACATAGTGGACAGTCAAGAACTATTTGTGGGATGAATGAGTGAATGCAACTCCCAATTCCATTATCTTTCCACTGTCTCTTGCTAGAGGAATTCTTGAAAGTTAACGACTTCCTCATTTTACAAAGACACCAAGCCCTTGTCTCACCGCTACCTAGTGCAAAAGGTAAGACTGGAAACTTGGACTCTTGTCCCCAGTGGAATGCTCTTCCCAGCCTATTAGGTAGCCAGGTCTTTGGTTTGCACAGCTCTCTGGGAGTTTATACTTCAGTTAGGGACAAAAGCCACCGATACATAAGATAACTGGAGTAACAGGGTGATATAGGATTGTGTGCTAGACTGAGGAATAGATCACTGTGTGCCTGTTATAGGAATTCAGGGGTGGGGAAGATCCCTGTGGGCTGTAGCATCTGAGAGTTTTGGCTTGGGCTTTGAAGGATGTTCAGGAATTGGATTGGCATAAAGGCAACCTCCTTTTTGTCTTCCCAGGCCCTGACCTGGTTTGGGCCATCCTTATTCTCACCTAGTCTCCCCCTCTATCAAGTCCCTCCCCAACAGTGCTGCCAGAGCAATGTTCCTAATCCCAAATCTGACCATCATTCTTTTGCCCAGAAACTTCCTGTGGTTCCCCCTTGCATTGCTGAGTAAGATCAAACACGTTACAGTGTGTGACTCACAGTACTCGCCCGGCTACCTCGGTAACAGGCTCAACTCCCCTGCCCCTCCCCCACCGCTCCTCCGCACAGGCGCACTGACTTCCCCCTACAGCGTGAAGTTTCCCAATTTCCTCCCCTTCACTTATCCTATACCCTCTACCTGAAGTTCCTGCCCTCAGTTTCTCCCTCTTGTCTGCCTGTTGAAATACTACACAACCTCCGGTGTCCAGCTCAAATGCCATTTCTTCTATGCTTCTCTTACATATCAGAGGAATTCAGGGATGGGAAAGATCCCTGTGGGCAACAGCCATACTACTATTGCATAAAACTTACAATTGAGAGTTTGAGAATTTAATGACGTAGTGTATACAAATGTGCCCAAGGTTTGTGTCTGACATTTATGAATTTATACAAGATTTAATTTATGGAATCCTAAATATGCCAGGCATTGTGGTATGTGATACAGTGATAAACAAGACAAAGTCACTCCTTCAAGGTACATCCTAAGCATTTTTTAAAAGTTAGTTCCATTCTCCTCCTAACACAATATGCGGTACATTGTAGGTGCTCATTGCTTGTTGAACTGAACTCACAAAGTATAAGCTAGATCGTATTTTTCTTCTCCCGATTCTATCTGACTTCATTTAGGTACTTACTCTGTAATATACAAACCATCATCCTTCAAATGCATGGACAGCGTGAAAGTTGGCTTTGGCTTTAGTTCTGCCGCCGCCTTGGTGCTGGCGCACTGCTGATGGGCATGAATGACCTGTTATGTAGGTTGAGGTCACTGGATTTTGAAGTGAAAGATAAGAGGCCTGGTCTGCTAAATGCAAATGAAGAGTGAATACTGTCTGGTGATAAAGGGGGTGAGGAGGGTGGGCCTTCACTCGCCCCTCTTCCTTCTCTCCCAGCTTCCGCCCCTCTGCGTAGGGACACCGTACTGAATCCTTTTACTCAGGCTCCTTGAGTGGACTTTCTCCCTCAGCTTCATTCTCTTTCTTCCGTCTCTTTCTTGGATCACTTCCAAATGACCTCTGCTCTTCCACATCAATGAAACTGCTGTTACTGAGGTTCCAACAATCCTCTCTGAACATGTAGTTCTACGCAGGATCTGATGGTTAGTGAAATACAGCCTCTGCATAAGTCTTCACCATTAAAGTATCCGGTGCCTTGTCGGGAGGAATGAAAATAGACCCACTTAAAGTTTTTTAGGTTTGAATGCATCACAGTATTCTAGAGACCAACTGACTTCGGTATTTGGACAGAAGGATAGGTTAGGGCCCACTAAAGAGTGACACGAGACCTTTAAATAAAGACATGTTTGCGAGTTTCTGCTGAGAGTTCAAAAAGCAAACTGCCCCACGTACCAGAGGCTAAATCCAAATCTCTGAACGTTCCCGCAGAGCTGCTAGACTAATCCCAGAACGAGGGGGGCATTCAAGGAGAGGTTTAGTAGAAACTAGAGTAAATGTGAATGACCTTTTAAAGATAAATTAGATGTGGTATTGTGATTTTTGTGTTTTGTGTGTGTGTGTGTTGAAGGCAAACTGCTTTTCTAAACTTGCAAAGCCTCCCACCATATGCAAAGTCGTGGGGAAAAATGTGCTGGATGGACTGGGGCTTCCAACACTACAAGTGGAAATATTCTGCACCATTCAAAATTTTCCCAAGGTAGGAGGCAGCTTAAATGTGTTCTTCACTATGTCCTGGCTCCACTGCATTTATGAGCATGTATTGTCTAAATTATGGAAAATTAACGTTTTGAAATTCAGTATGTGTGAAATACACGCACCATTTGTAGGTAATTATGAAAACAAAGCATGAATCATACAGTCTTCCATGATGGTTTATTAGGTTATGTGGACTACTGGTACAGACATGACTTGCTAACCTGAAGATGATCCAAGATGGAGAAAGGAAATGGGGCAAAAATAGTTTTAAAAACTCTGACATTATTAATGTCATGAGTTCTATAAATCTGCAGATAGGGTTATAGATTCATGTATTTATATATAGATTTACAGATATATAGACCGATCTACAGAAAGAAAATTTCATTTTCATAAATGAAAATAATTATGATTAAATTTGTCTCCTTTTTGCTATTTTTTAGAGAGGTAGTGATAAAAATGAAGTTCAATGTAGGGTTTTTAGAAGGGTATTTTAACAAGTTAATAATTTTAAACGTTCCTTCAAGTTGGGTTCCATCGTGTTTCAGTAGCTATAAAAATATCTCAAAGAAAATTATAGATTCTCATTTTCTCTTTGAAATTGGTGATAAAATATCATGTACCTTAAAAGCTAGATACATTCAATTTCCTATTTCCTGTGAAAGGTAGGGAAAATGTAGAACACGTTTATATTGTTTTCAGAATATATGTTCTGTGGTGATCTCAACTCACTTCGAAGTCCATGAGAACGCTTTACCCGAGCTAGCTGAAGCAGAGGAATTAGAAAGGTCAGATGCCGTCAGCACTGCGGTGCGGTGGGTCAACGAAACCATCACCGAGGAGCTTCAGGGCTTAGCTCCTTCCAACCAGGCTGAGGTGGATCAGGTGCTCAGGTAAATTTCGCACTTTGAAATGTAAGTGTCCGGTATAACTATGTACCTCTTCTCTTTCCATTTCACCTGCCAATGAAATGGGTCTGTCATATCTATAGGGTACGATCAGGAAGTCAATTAAGAAGCATATGCTAAAGCAGCAAAATTTAGCATAAAATGTCGTTTTTCTTCTGAAAACCCTGTTATTAAAATTTTACTTTGTAAGGCTACATAAGGCCTTTTGGCCTCTTTTATGCATAGAGCTTTCCTAGGATTCAGTGAAAAGTTTCTCAGGAAAAGGATTAAGAATCCGGACGTCCTCCTTTCCCCCTCCCCACCTCCTCACATGCCCCCCTCGTCCATGAGCCTCTCTTATCCTTTTATATAGCCCAGTGGGCGATGCTTATGTTCTGACCTCCAGACACAACCAAGTCTTCCAGGTTTTGCCCATAGGTTGACTCTAAAATGTGAAAACCAAGGAACTGTTTACTAGGGCTATGTGAGCACTGTTCAGTGCCTAACCAAGTGTGGCTTAGTTACTTTTCCTTTTGTGTGGGTCCAACGCCACAACCCTCTTGGCCAAAGAAGGTCAACTGGATTCTCTTTCTCTAAGCTTCAACACTTGCTTAATTGTGCATAACTTCACATTTTAGTTTGCCTCAGAGTTGGATCATGACCTTATAAAAAACTTGTTTGAATAGTTTTTGGTTGCCTTACAGTTTTTGAATGCTATTCCACTTAGTCCTTTGTGTGTGTGTGTTATTTGCTATTTTTTTTTAGGTAATCTTTTTTTTTAATTTTTGAATTTTATTTTTTTATATAGCAGGTTCTTATTAGTTATCTGTTTTATACATATTAATGTATACATGTCAATCCCAATCTCCCAATTCATCACACCACCCGCCCCACTACTTTCCCCCCTTGGTGTTCCATACATTTGTTCTCTACATCTGTGTCTCTATTTCTGCCCTGCAAACCGGTTCATCTGTACCATTTTTCCAGGGTGTTATTTGCTATTAACACATCCTTCTTTTTTCCCAAGCTCTCAGTCATACCTTCTATTCTGTTACATTCCTTTTTTTCCTGGAGTTTTCCCTCCCAAATCTTCCATCTTGACTGGTTCCTCTTTAGGCCTACTAAAGAGATGCCATAAGACATCCCTTCATTGTTCTCCTGTTTCCTGGATCCCATGTCGTCCTCTTTCTTAAATTACCGGATTCCAACCTTTAAAAGTAAGGATGAGAAAAGGGTATTTGGGATGTAAATTTTTTGAGTTCTTACATGTGTGGAAATGTCAGTACTTTCCCTTTGTGGTTTACAGTTTAGCTGAGTATAGAGTTCTCATTTGAAATCAATTTCTCTCAGCACTTTAAAGGCACTGCCCCATTGGCATCTGACGCAAATCTGATTCCCATGTCTTTTTTTTTTGGGCCTGTTATTGTTGTTTTCTCTGTGGAAGGTTTTAGCCTCTGTTTATTCTGGGGAGCTGATATTTTTCATAGATGCACCTAAGCTGGATTTCCCAACAGTTTTCTTAATTGTTCATTTTAAGCACCCACCTCAAAAAGAAAAGAAAAAAAGTAAAGAAAAGAAAGAAAGAAAAGGAAGTCCTGCACATAGTGCTATATATTTCACTGTCTGTTCTTGCCTCATTTTTAGTCTGATGGTCATTTATTCAAAAAGAAAATCCAATAGCCCTTAATCAAATTATATCTTCAAATTTTACATTAAAAAATAACAAACAGGGCTCAGATAATTTTTAAAATGAGCACCTAAAATCTTTAAACATTTATTTCCAGGCCAAAATGATTTGCAGTTCTTCAACATAGTTTTATAACAGCATCATTTTTTAGTCTTGGAAATTGAAGCTGATTTGTTCTAAAGTAGCTTAAAAAGCAGAGTTAACTACTGAAACATTTTGGGGTCAGCACTAAAACATGACCAAAATTACTAGTGATATTTCTCAAAATCTCATTGTAAAGTTGTACTTTCTTACCATTAAGGACATTCTTTGAAAGTAAAGTACAAGAAGATAAGGAGAGAAAAGAATTGGAAAAGAGCCTGGAAGACTCCACAGTGCCTACATCTTCACCTCTAACACCACCACTGCCTCCTCCACCTCCAGCCAAAAAAAAAGGACAAAAGCAAGGTCGGTGGCTTATCATCCTGCAGAACCATTAGTAACAAATGTGGAGGAAGAAAGGCTGAAACTTGGACTGCCTTTCCAAGTTCAAATCTCTCTGCTGCAGACCTAGGTTGGAGTCCCACCAGGTACCATCCATCCTCCACGCCACTTCCTTGCTTAAAGCTACTATGTGAGGTGGGCACGGTTTTCCCCCACCCCACCCTCCATTTTTATTTGTAAGATAAAAATATTTCTTACCCAGAGGTGAACACTTAGTAAACAGAGTGCACTGAACAGTGGCAATGCCCAAGGCAGGGAAGGGGAGGGTGGCCTGGAGACCTTTAACTGCTCCTCAGAATTCCCATTAGCTCCTCAGAAAGCCACTCCCTATTTTAAAGATTAATGATACCCTTTGATATGGAGAACCAACATTTCCTCAGTCATAGGTAATATAGTAATGAAACTTATTTTTGGAAGACCTTGCTATTTTAAGACAAATAATCTTAAATTTATCGTGGCCCTTTGTTCCATGCCTTCCAACATATGGCTAACCTCAGCTCCTCCAGTATGTTAATTCTGGAGCTGGTGCTAGAGCTGTTGTAACAGTGATTAGTGTGTCTGTCCAACTACAACATGCTCCTGGAGGACATGAGTCATGCCTCATCCAATTTAGCGCTGCCAGCGCCTAGCACAATGCCGGGAACAAACTAAACGCCAGGTAAGTGTGGGTACCATTAAATAAGAAAGCGCAAGAAGCACGGACCAAAGAGATCGTGAAGCCAAGGTCTCTTATTTCATAGATTTAGATACTGAGGACCAGAGAGGGGAGGAGAGTTGCCCAAGGCAGAAGAATCCTGTTAGACCAATCTTCTCCTGGAGGATGGGGATGACCACTACTGAATCATAGGCAGAGACTGCCAATAGGTGTTCATTTGGTGGTTTCTTTTGACTGATAGAACTCGGAACATAAGAAGGGAAGAAGTAGGAGGGGACAGTAATTTGCTAAACATTTAATATGTGCTGGGTGCTCACACATCTTATTCCACTTGTTTTACCTACCTGACTCAGGTCAGTAGCTGTGGGGAAGGAGAGGACAGGAGGAAAACTAGAGATTTATTATGGACATTGTGGTACCTGATCAGACAGGGTGGCTGAGAATATGTGAGAGTGAAAGATGGGTGAGGATTCTGGGTGGATGGTTAGATCTGGAAGGAAGTCCTCATAGAAAAGGGCATCCGTCTGGGGTGGGCAAGCAAGATACGTAGTTAGATATTCACATGAGATATTCAACACGAAGCTGGGTATGCAAGAGCGATGGTGGAACATAGGAAAACAGGATTTGGAATTCAAAGACCATCCAAATCCTCTCTCTATTCACTTTCTGTTAGGTATTGGGCAAGTCTTTGAACCTAAGCCCCCGTTTAGGTGAGATAACAATATCTGCCCCACAAGACTGTTGAAGCATTTAATACTGAATGTTCTAAAATTTCTTACGCAAAATCCATGGCTAAGGATTATTTGAGCATTAGGGTCAGACAGAAACTTCTCAGGGGTTGAAGTGGTGAATATTTTCTTGCCAGCCTCAGCTTTCAACCTTCTTTATGCTGGGCCTTCACATCTATAAGTAAAGCATTAAAATATATATATAGTTTTATCATAGTCAAACTTTCTAGAAAGCAATCTTTTATCAATATATTTTTCTTCAGGGAGGAAGGATACTCTTACAGAAAAACCAGTTATACCCCCAGAACCTGTTGAACCCATACTCTGTGGCAGCATGGCCATAGGAGCTGTGTCACTGGCTGTTGCCAAAACCAGTGCCGTGCTGGGCAGTAATCCTCTATACTTAAATATTGCACTGCTGAAGCACCACCAGGTTAGTGCCCATTACATTCCTTTACAAGGACCCATGAGTATCTCGAGATGAATGAACCATGTTGCTCATTTCCCCTTGCTTTTCCCCTTTTTCAGGAGCAGCCGGCAAAGCTAACTATACCTCTCCTGATGGTATCTCTGGTCAGCTGTGGGAAGTCATCACCTGGCAAGCTGAATTTAATGAAAGAAGTGATTGGTATACCCCATCCTGGACTAACAGCTAAACAAGTACCTTACATTATCTCAAACTACCTTTCCTTAAAAAAAAAAAAAACCTTCATCATCAATGAGTTTTTAGTGTATGTTCCTAAGGCTTATGACACCAAGGGAAAAGGAATTAAATATAAAATGAGAAAAAAAATTAGGAAATTAGGGAAGTGGGACAAAAACAAGACCTCAAACGCAAGAGAACCAAATTTAGACCACCTTGGATCTCCAGCTCATCACAACAGTGACTCATGCTCGTGCTTCTCACAGAGAAGCCACGGGCAAGTGATTTTGCAGGCCTTGATAGTGCTGGAAGGATATTCTTTGGGGCAACTGAGATTTTTTAATTTACTAGTCTATGCACTATGGCTGCGACGAGAGGAAGGTGGCACTTTCATAGCAGCCGTTCTGTTAAGTAGGAACTGCAGGGCCTAGCAGATTGCCCGGCACGTAAGAGAGGTTTAGTGCATGTTTATGGAATATGGAATGATGGAATCCTAAGTGGCATCTTTACTACTCAGAGGTTTGTTAGTGTCTCATTGTTCTTCAGTGGCATGAATGAGTCAATACGCCTTTTTAAATCTTCATGAATTATTCTACCAATTAGGCATTCGGGAGAACTAAACATTCGTGTCCTATAGTGGATGTTTACAGGAAAAGTACGGGAAGCTCCATCCCCTCTGATAGTCTATTGACTGATATTTTATCGAAGCTAGTGACAATCATTTGTTTAAATCTCAAGATAATTTCTTTATGATAAAGAATCCTTTTTTAAGGAGAATAGTCATTACCCACTTCTATCAATTTTGGAAGACTAGGATTGATATCTGGCTCACCATCTGTCAGATCACGTTCAGATCCTGGCGCCAGGATCTTTCCTTCAGTTAATATCTGCTGTTTAGGTACCAGAGCATTTGACCTGCCATTCTTCATCTGTCTCCATATGCAGATCCCACCATCATCAGAATACATTTTTCTACTTTCTAAGTGACAGTGGATTTATACTAATTCAAACACTATCATGCAGAATCCCTTGATGACCTGTGACATGTATGGCAAGAAGGTTGGTCAGGAGACCATGAAAGAGAATGAAGTTAACTTGATCCAACCAACCGAACCAATCAGTTCTGAACAATGAAGAGAGGATAATGAGGAAGAAAAACCTCTCATTCATTTTCAACCAAATAAAGATTGAGGGTTGAAGATTAACATTTGATCTTCTGATTTTGTAGGCCATATGTAATTCACTAACCAGGATGCCATTATCAGGGACCCTACAGATTTTCTAAGTTAGAAATAGCCATGTGTGGTATAAGTTTTTATGTTTAAAATTCTAGACTGCAGTTGTGGAAGATCATGGTTATTCTACTTACAGGGTGTGGACATGCTTCTGGAAATTCAGAAACACATTAACCAAGCAATTGAAATGGTATGTAAAGAGAATCTATGGAATCTAATAACTGATGCTTATGTACCTTCTAGTAACCAAATTATAGTTCATTATGCAACAAAATCAATATTGTTGTTACAGATATGAAAGCATATTAATTTTCTTTGGGTTTCCCATATGAGCCAAGCTTATACATTCCCTCATTGCCTATGGGTCCAGTTTCTAATGGAACTTAACAATCTTCTTTTGATTTCTGAGGCAGCTGGCCCTACGCTAAGATCATCCCTTTGGATTTGCAAAGAAAGAAAGGATCTGGCCCCTAGGATTAGCGAGAGGCAGTTTGGTATAATGGTTAAGGCGCAGTCACTTGTGCCTGCTTAGAATCCTGGTGTTGGGCAAACAAGCACCCTTGGCTGAGCAGCCCTTGAGGGGGAAAGTCACAGAGGCAGGATGAGGGGCGACTGTATGAGTCAGTGGGTTGTTCCGTCATACTCTAGCTGGGGTAATGCACAATGATGTGGCAGGGCTGAGGGACCCAATCCTTGTCTTTTATTTTAGAATAATACTGCATTTATAGAGAAGTTGCAGAGATAGTGCAGAGAGTTCCCAACTACCCCTCACCCAGTTTCCCCCAAGGTTAACAGGTTACATTACCATAGCGTATTGGTCAAAACTAAGAAATCAACATGCTACATTACTAATAACTAAACTTCAGACTTTATGTGAATTTCACTGGTTTTTCCACTAATGTCCTTCCTCTGTTCCAGGATCCAATCCAGGACCCAATATTTATTTAGTGTGAGGCTTTTAAGCTACATGATTAGGAAGCACTAGCTCCTTCCCCAGCAGGATGGGGGCTGAGATATAATCTCAGTACGACATAAAGGAACTTTGGCTCCAGTGCTATCTTGCCAGCACAGAATATGTGATGGGGGAGGGTGGTGGGGGCCCAAGCCCTACAGTTGATCAGAATTGCTTTAAGCACCAGCCTGGAGCCAGTTGTCGGGGTGCTTTTCAGGAAGACAACTGTTTTATGGGTGAAAAGATGCAGGATAACTTCTGTATTTGCATATACTGGAGTGTGTGTGTGAACCATGTTGCTTCTTGACAAACATGCCCCAGCTTATACAGCCAATGAATGCCGGGCATTAAAGTGCATCCTTTAACAGGTTAAATCCTTGTTACAGCATGCCACCAATACCCCAAACTATGGAAGCTTCTCTTTGGTAATTATCTTTGCTTTTAATGTCAGATGACATTACACACACCAGATTCACCAGATTTAATGACCATGGGCTGCTTCCAAAAGTCAAACCCATCCTGCCAGAGAAAGTGTTTGTACTGTGAGAATATTTAAAACAATATGTCGGGCCTTTAAAAGCAAATGCCACAGTGTGGTTATTCCTTAAGGACAAGGAGGGGACTTAACATCCTCCTGTAAAAAAAGAGTTCCTGCACACAGCAGGAGTCAGGACATGATGAGTGAATAATTACTTATATAAGTAGAAATGCATGAACATGTATATCCATACCTCATACATGTGACTGGAGGCAGAATGTAAGGATGAACTAAAGGGAACATGTGCCTGATTTTGAGAAACAGTTTGAGGTTTATGAAATTAAAGTGTGGCTGGCATCATCCCTGTGTGTGTGTGTGTGTGTGTGTGTGTGTGTGTGTGTGTGTGTGTGTGTGTGTGTGTGTGTGTGTGTGTGTGTGACTGGCTCAACCCCAGAGCAGTGGGCAGGCCAGAGGACCTGCAGCTCTGCTTGCTGCCACAGACGTGTCTGAAAATCCCGAGTGATATGTCTTTATCTTCTGTCTCTCAGTCCCCTCCTCCAAAACCAGAGACAAGAAAAAGTCAAAATGGAGGCAAAAGAGGTCAAGTAAGTAAATGTATTTGTTTACCATGCTTCTGTATGACAGTTCATTTCTATATTCCCTGCCCCTTTCCCTCTCCCAGTCATTTTGCTCCAGGACTGGTCTAACAAAAAATGGAAATCACACGGTGATACTGCTTCAAGGGGACTAAACCAGGCAACCCCCAGAGCTGGAATATAATTCTGCCCCCACCTCTCTGGCAACAGGCTGCCAGGCCATCACTGCTTGCAGTTGTCTGGCCAAGTGAAATCTCAGAGGGCTTGGAGAGGCTCTTATGACTAATAGGATTACATGGGAAACCCTCTAGGTGAAGTGCTGGGGAAGATGAATCTCTCTGAATACTAGCTCAAAGGCATATAGGATGTTTTGGCTTTTAATTTTAATACTACCAAAGAAAGAAAGAAAAGGCACAAAAAGATAGCAATTCCTTCATCTGGTCCCCCAAAAGCACTGAGGCACCATTTCAGATGAACCATTGCCAGAGCTCAGATTTTGCCAGGAGGGTCAGGCAAACAAGCCTGGTGAAAATGGGCTGCAGACCTCAGCCAGCTGCACTTGATCAGTCCATCACTTTGGTGACTGTGGGCGCTCTGACAGATACACCTGTTATATGCCTGACTTTCAGCAATATAGTTAGAACAACCAACAAGAACCCCGAAGATAATGCAAATGGATGAGGGTTGCTCACATGTGTGATATTTGCTCTGATAACCCTGCAATCACTACCTGGATGTCAGGGACTTCAGGGTCCGTTGAAGTCATCAGCAAGAAGGACTAGTAAAGGAAGGAGAGGACTTGGTGGAGATAAAAAGTTAAGTTCCTCTTTAAACTTGGGAGAGAGAAGAGAAATGTGTGAACAGATACAGCAGTAAGTAAAATCCTTGACAGGTGTGTATACTAGAACTGGACCTTGCAAGAGAGGCAGGGGCTGGTGAACAAGTAGCAAATCTCAGCTCTGTTCCCTTCATTCCAGCAGGTTGTCTGATGTATTCTGAGAAACTTAGACCAAGATCAGCCCTTCCTGAGATCAGCTTTACTACTACCCCCACCTCCCCACCATTAGAAACAGGATAGATGATAGATTCTAGAGAGGCAGCCATACCAGAATTAGAGGCAAGGACTACTAGAGGCTCAACTACCTGGATTAAAATCTGTTCCAAGTTACTCAACTCTCTCTTAAATAGGGATAATAATGGTACCTGCTTCATGGGATTGATGTAAGGAGTAAATGTATTTACTTTATGTAAAGTGTTTAGAATGGTACCTGGCATTTAGTAAGCACCAAATAAGTGATGCTTTCATAGTTTTGAAGACTCCGTAATGAAACTCCTTAACTGACACACAAAAATTTCCCCAACTATTCCTTTGCCAAATAAAAGGTTCCTCTCACTGACATTAAAAATGTTGGATGGTTCTTATACTTAACGAGTACTATCATCAGTAAAAATAGGATATTTATACCTACTTTCATGTTTGCTCTTGAGACTGGTACACACACACACACACACACACACACACACACACACACACACCCCTTAGTGATACTGCTTCAACTTACGTTAAAATTGCATAGTGACAATTTATGATGAGGGCACGTCAAGGCTGACCTTGCAATCGAAGCCTATGGCTGCCTTTCCCCTGAGCTCATCTGGGTCCTCAAATCTTCTTCCACTGCAATGCATCCTCAGTGCTACATCCTTTTAGCTGAAGTCTTCAATCCCTTTTAAAATAAAACTTTTCCTGAAGGAGAGTTAAATTTTTAAGTTTTAACACTTATAATCTTCTAAAGGAAAATGGAACATAGGAAAGAGCAGGTTTGGAGGAAGAAGGGACAGGCAGGACAGACATTTACAGGGACAGCCTGTAGAGTCACCAACCTGGTGGTTATGGCTCAGGTGAGCCTGTGTACAATGATAGAGCCAATAAAGAGATAATAACATGGGCAACTAAAGAGAGCAAAGTGTATTCCTAGGTCAAACTTGAAAACCGTGGGAGTAAGAAAGTTATTCCCAGGTACTGCAGGACAATCATCTGCCTGAAAATATGCAGAGATGAGTGGGAACTAGGGGCAGGATTAATCGAGAATCAGAGGACCCCGTGTTTGGAGAGCTGTGTCTGTTACAAATTGCCAGCCACTGGAAGCCCCAAGAACCTTAATGTGCTCTATTTACGTGCATGATTTTCTTGATCCTGAAGCAGCAGATCACCGGCAAGATGTCCCATCTTGGCTGTTTAACCATTAATTATGACACCATAGAGCAGCCACTGCTCCTAATACAAGGAATCTGTGCGAACCTGGGGCTAGAAATGGGAACGAATCTCCACCTAGCCATCAACTGTGCTGCACATGAACTGATGGACTATGTAAGTTTCCACTCCAGAACATTTACTTTTTGTTGCAGTCTCATTGTTTTTAAATTAGAACTCAAAAGAAGAGCCTATCTGTACGTATTTCCAAAGAAATCCTACTTTTTAAGTTAGTACCATGGGAGGGGTCCAAATATACTGGAGTTGAGAAAGGTAAGTTAACTAATGACCAGACAATAATATAACCATATAACTTTAAAAATTAACAGAAATGTCACCATAATTATATATAGAAATTCTGTAATAAAAATGTCTAAAATGGATTGCTTACATTGAAATCATGAGAACTATTAAAAATAATTTAACAAACTGGTATGTTCTGCAGAGTACATTCATTTGGTTGGTGAATGCTGAATTGGTCAAGCATAAAAAGTGGCTCAGTTGTAACTATGACTTGATAAGCCCTTCTAGACATGTGGTTCTTTGAGTTTCTGCTGGTGATTCACTTTTTTTTTTTTGAATTTTATTTAATTTATTTTTTTATACAGCAGGTTCTTATCAGTTACCTATTTTGTACATATTAGTGTATACATGTCAATCCCAATCTCCTAATTCATCACACCACCACCACCCCGCCATTTTCCCCCCTTGGTGTCCATACATTTCTTCTCGACATCTGTGTCTCTATTTCCGCCTTGCAAACTGGTTCATCTGTACCATTTTTCTAGATTCCACATATATGTGTTAATATACGCTTTTGTTTTTCTCTTTCTGACTTACTTCACTCAGTATGACAGACTCTAGGTCCATCCACATCTCTACAAATGACCCAATTTCGTTGCTTTTTATGGCTGAGTAATATTCCATTGTATATATTTACCACATCTTCTTTATCCATTCATCTGTCGATGGGCATTTAGGTTGCTTCCGTGACCTGGCTATTGTAAATAGTGCTGAAGTGAACATTGGGGTGCATGTGTCTTTTTTTTTTTTGCGGTACGCGGGCCTCTCACTGCTGTGGCCTCTCCCATTGCGGAGCACAGGCTCTGGACGCGCAGGCTCAGCGGCCGTGGCTCACGGGCCCAGCCGCTCTGTGGCATGTGGGATCTTCCCAGACCGGGGCACGAACCCGTGTCCCCTGTATCGGCAGGCGGACTCTCAACCACTGTGCCAACAGGGAAGCCCTGCATGTGTCTTTTTGAATTATGGTTTTCTCTGGGTATATGCCCAGTAGTGGGATTGCTGGATCATATGGTAATTCTATTTTTAGTTTTTTAAGGAACCTCCATACTGTTCTCCATAGTGGCTGTACCAATTTACATTCCCATCAATAATGCAAGAGGGTTCCCTTTTCTCCACACCTTCTCCAGCATTTGTTGTTTGTAGATTTTCTGATGATGCCCATTCTAACTGGTGTGAGGTGATACCTCATTGTAGTTTTGATTTGCATTCTCTAATAATTAGTGATGTTGACCAGCTTTTCATGTGATTCTTGGCCATCTGTATGTCTTCTTTGGAGAAATGTCTATTTAGCTTTTCTGCCCATTTTGGATTGGGTTGTTTGTTTTTTTAATATTGAGCTGCATGAGGTGTTTATATATTTTGGAGATTAATCCTTTGTCTGTTGATTTGTTTGCAAATATTTTCTCCCATTCTGAGGGTTGTCTTTTCGTCGTGTTTGTAGTTTCCTTTTCTTTGCAAAAGCTTTTAAGTTTCATTAGGTCCCATTTGTTTATTTTTGGTTTTATTTCCATTTCTCTAGGAGGTGGATCAAAGATCTTGCTGGGCTTCCCTGGTGGCACAGTGGTTGAGAGTCCGCCTGCCGATGCAGGGGACACGGGTTTGTGCCCCAGTCCGGGAAGATCCCACATGTCACAGAGCGGCTGGGCCCGTGAGCCATGGCCACTGAGCCTGCGCATCTGGAGCCTGTGCTCCGCAACAGAGAGGCCACAACAGTGAGAGGCCCGCGTTAAAAAAAAAAAAAAAAAAAGATCTTGCTGTGATTTATGTCAAAGAGTGTTCTTCCTATGTTTTCCTCTGAGAGTTTTATAGTGTCCAGCCTTACATTTAGGTTTCTAATCCATTTTGAGTTTATTTTTGTGTATGGTGTTAGGGAGTGTTCTAATTTCATTCTTTTGCATGTAGCTGTCCAGTTGCCCCAGCACCACTTATTGAAGAGACTGTCTTTTCCCAATTGTATATCCTTTCCTCCTTTGTCATAGATTAGTTGACCATAGGTGCGTGGGTTTATCTCTGGGCTTTCTAACCTGTTCCATTGATCTCTATTTCTATTTTTGTGCCAGTATCATGCTGTCTTGATTACTGTAGCTTTGTAGTATAGTTTGAAGTCAGGGAGTCTGATTCCTCCAGCTCTGTTTTTTTTCCCTCAAGACTGCTTTGGCTATTCAGGGTCTTTTGTGTCTCCATACAGATTTTAAGATTTTTTTGTTCTAGTTCTGTAAAAAATAACATTGGTATTTGATAGGGATTGCATTGAATCTGTAGATTGCTTTGAGTAGTATAGTCATTTTCACAATATTGCTTCTTCCAATCCAAGAACATGGTATATCTCTCCATCTGTTTGTTTGTATCATCTTTAATATCCTTCATCAGTGTGTTATAGTTTTCTGCATACAGGTCTTTTGTTTCCCTAGGAAGGTTTATTCCTAGGTATTTTATTCTTTTTGTTGCAATGGAAAATGGGAGTGTTTCCTTAATTTCTCTTTCAGATTTTTCATCAGTGTATAGGAATGCAAGAGATTTCTGTGCATTAATTTTGTATCCTGCAACTTTACCAAATTCATTGATTAGCTCTAGTAGTTTTCTGGTGGCCTCTTTACGATTCTCTATGTATAGTATCATGTCATCTGCAAACAGTGACAGTTTTACTTCTTCTTTTCCAATGTGTATTCCTTTTATTTCTTTTTCTTCTCTGATTGCTGTGGCTAGGACTTCCAAAGCTATGTTGAATAATAGTGGTGAGAGTGGACATCCTTGTCTCATTCCTGATCTTAGGGGAAATGCTTTCAGTTTTTCACCATTGAGAATGATGTTTGCTGTGGGTTTGTCATACATGGCCTTTATTATGTTGAGGTAAGTTCCCTCTATGCCCACTTTCTGGAGAGTTTTTATCATAAATCGGTGTTGAATTTTGTCGAAAGCTTTTTCTGCATCTATTGAGATGATCATATGGTTTTTATTCTTCAATTTGTTAATATGGTGTATCACATTGATTGATTTGCATATATTGAAGAATCCTTGCATCCCTGGGATAAATTCCACTTGATCATGGTGTATGATCCTTTTAATGTGTTGTTGGATTCTGTTTGCTAGTATTTTGTTGAGGATTTTTGCATCTATATTCATCAGTGATATTGATCTGTAATTTTCTTTTTTTGTAGTATCTTTGTCTAGTTTTGGTATCAAGGTGATGGTGGCCTCATAGAATGGGTTTGAGAGTGTTCCTTCCTCTGCAATTTTTGGGAAGAGTTTGAGAAGGATGGTGTTAGTTCTTCTCTAAATGTTTGATAGAATTCACCTGTGAAGCCATCTGGTCCTGGACTTTTGTTTGTTGCAAGATTTTTAATCACAGTTTCAATTTCATTACTTGTGATTGGTCTGTTCATATTTTCTGTTTCTTCCTGGTTCAGTCTTGGAAGGTTATACCTTTCTAAGAATTCGTCCATTTCTTCCAGGTTGTCCATTTTATTGGCATAGAGTTGCTTGCAGTAGTCTCTTAGGATGCTTTGTATTTCTGCGGTTTCTGTTGTAACTTCTCCTTTTTCACTTCTAATTTTATTGATTTGAGTCCTCTCCCTTTTTTTCTTGATGAGTCTGGCTAATGGTTTATCAATTTTGTTTATCTTCTTAAAGAACCAGCTTTTAGTTTTATTGATCTTTGCTATTGTTTTCTTTGTTTCTATTTCTTTTATTTCTGCTCTGATCTTTATGATTTCTTTCCTTTTGCTAACTTTGGGTTTTGTTTGTTCTTCTTTCTCTAGTTCCCTTAGGTGTAAGGTTAGATTGTTTATTTGAGATTTTTGTTGTTTCTTGAGGTAGGCTTGTATTGCTATAAACTTCCCTCTTAGAACTGCTTTTGCTGCATCCCATAGGTTTTGGATCATTGTGTTTTTGTTGTCATTTGTCTCTAGGTATTTTTTGATTTCCTCTTTGATTTCTTCAGTGGTCTCTTGGTTATTTAGTAACGTACTGTTTAGCCTCCATGTGTTCGTGTTTTTTACATTTTTTTCCCTGTAACTGATTTGTAATCTCATAGCATTGTGGTCAAAAAAGATGCTTGATATGATTTTAGTTTTCTTAAATTTACTGAGGCTTGATTTGTGACCCAAGATGTGATCTATCCTGGAGAATGTTCTGTGCGCACTTGAGAAGAAAGTGTTATCTGCATTTTTTGGATGGAATGTCCTAAAAATATCAATGAAATCTATCTGGTCTATCATTTAAAGCTTGTTTCCTTATTAATTTTCTGTTTGGATGATCTGTCCATTGGTGTAAGTGAGGTGTTAAAGTCCCCCACAATTATTGTGTTTCTGTTGATTTCCTCTTTTATAGCTGTTAGCAGTTGCCTTATGTATTGAGGTGCTCCTATGTTGGGTGCATCTATATTTATAATTGTTATATCTTCTTCTTGGATTTATCCCTTGATCATTATGTAGTGTCCTTCCTTGTCTCTTGTAACATTCTTTAAAGTCTATTTTATCTGATATGAGTATTGCTGCTCCAGCTTTCTTTTGATTTCCATTTGCATGGAATATCTTTTTCCATCCCCTCACTTTCAGTCTGTATGTGTCCCTAGGTCTGAAGTGGGTCCCTTGTAGACAGCATATATATGGGTTTTGTTTTGTTTTGTTTTGTTTTTGCGGTACACGGGCCTCTCACTGTTGCAGCTTCTCCCGTTGCAGAGCACAGGCTCTGGACGCACAGGCTCAGTGGCCATGGCTCACGGGCCCAGCCTCTCCACGGCATGTGGGTCCCCCCAGACCGGGGCACGAACCCGCATCCCCCCACATCAGCAGGCGGACCCTCAACCACTGCGTCACCAGGGAAGCCCTGGGTCTTGTTTTTGTATCCATTCAGCAAGCCTGTGTCTTTTGGTTGGAGCATTTAATCCATTCACGTTTAAGGTAATTATCGATATGTATGTTCCTATTACCATTTTCTTAATTGTAATGGGTTTGTTTTTGTAGGTCCTTTTCTTCTCTTGTGTTTCCCACTTAGAGAAGTTCCTTTAGTATTTAGTGTAGAGCTGGTTTGGTGGTGCTGAAGTCCCTTAGCGTTTGCTTGTCTGTAAAGCTTTTGATGTCTCCATTGAATCTGAATGAGATCCTTGCCGGGTAGAGTAATCTTGGTTGTAGGTTCTTCCCTTTCATCACTTTAAATATATCATGCCACTCTCTTCTGGCTTGTAGAGTTTCTGCTGAGAAATCATCTGTTAACCTGATGGGAGTTCCCTTGTATGTTATTTGTCATTTTTCTCTTGTTGCTTTCAGTAATTTTTCTTCGTCTTTAATTTTTGCCAATTTGATTACTATGTGTCTCGGCATGTTTCTCCTTGGGTTTATCCTGCCTGGGACTCTCTGTGCTTCCTGGACTTGGGTGGCTATTTCCTTTCCCAAGTTAGGGAAGTTTTCAACTATAATCTCTTCAAATATTTTCTCGGGTCTCTTCTCTCTCTTCTCCTTCTGGGACCCCTATAACATGAGTGGTGTTTAATGTTGTCCCAGAGGTCTCTTAGGGTGTCTTCATTTCTTTTCATTCTTTTTTCTTTATTCTGTTCTGCAGCAGTGAATTCCACCATTCTGTCTTCCAGGTCACTTATCCATTCTTCTGCCTCAGTTATTCTGCTATTGATTCCTTCTAGTGTATTTTTCATTTGTTATTGTAGTGTTCATCTCTGTTTGTTCTTTAATTCTTCTAGGTCTTTGTTAAACATTTCTTGCATCCTCTTGATCTTTGCCTCCATTCTTTTTCTGAGGGCCTGGATCATCTTCACTATCATTATTCTGAATTCTTTTTCTGGAAGGCATATCTCCACTTCATTTAGTTGTTTTTCTGGGGTTTTATCCTGTTCCTTCATCTGGTACATAGCCCTCTGCCTTTTCATCTTGTCTATGTTTCTGTGAATGTGGTTTTTGTTCCACAGGCTGCAGGATTGTAGTTCTTCTTGCTTCTGCTGTCTGCCCTCTCTCAAATTTTAAATATAAAAGTATTTCTAAGTTATTGAAGTTTTTGGAGAATAATTAATAATAGTAATTAATGTCAAATTCAGGGCACATGACCAAATACGATTCCACTTTAATTTGTGATTCTTTTAACTTCAAAGGAAATCTTGAATAGTATATAAGAAAACTAAGTTTCAGCTGACTTTTAAAAGTTTTTACTTTCCTAAAGAAACTAAGCGCATAAAGGAATATTTAATGTAATTTCGTATTCTTCACATAATCATTGGTTCCTAGGCATACCAGTAAGAGAAATAATTGCATGTTTTCATCAGCAACGTATACCAAGAACTATGAAAATACTGACTGCTAGTGTTAACTAGAATGGGTATTTATTGCTTATATTCAGTAAAATGCTTTAGCTTGATATCAGATAATTCTTACAGTGTTAGTTCAAAATCATTATCACTTCCTCTCTGACAAGATAGGATTGCATATGTTTTGCAGTATAGAAACTGAGAGTTCTTGCTGCTATATTTTACGTGAAAAGACGCATAGAATCTTTTCAATGATGGACTTATTAGGACCCTGCTTAATTCCAATGGAATCCATTCTATTAGCAGCAACAGGAAGGCATTAATAAATCAAAGAGCCATTCTGGTCCATTCCACCTCCCTCCCAGTACCTAAGTATCCCAGGTGCCATCCCTGGATACAGACTTGGACTGGACATAAGGGTGCTGTGTTTACAGAGACTACACTAGATCCTCCAGCTTTGTTTACTCCTATGCTTAATGACTTGGGGGTGTTCTAGACTTCAAATGAATGGGTTGCACTAGAACTCCACTTTCAAAACAATATTGTTACTACTAGAACTTGCATGCTTGCCTTCATGTAAACCTCTTTACATTTCATATTGGTTGTTGGTATCTCAAAAGCTTAGCCCCGCTTTCAAATTTTAGAATATTTACAGTAAACAAGCTATTCATTCACTGTGAGCTGAACGATGGTATTTCTAGTGAGTAGGCAGGTCTGCATTGCTATTCTGTTTATGAATTTATGTTATTGCCCATCTATCCAAGCAGTATCTGGCACCACGTTACAAAACTTAAATAAGAAATTACTCCCCTCCTGCTCTTTACTCGTTTTTTTTTGTACAGAAGGCTTCATCTGAAGTCAGTGGGAAATCTATGGGGCATCCAGAGGAATGCTGACTTGATTTTCCCAGGTTGACATTTAACATATATTTAAAGTAAAATGCATAGATTTCTCAGGTGAATGTGGCCTGGAAATAATCTGTTTGCAGTCTTTTATATGAAATGAATGAAAATGAATTTGAATCACATCTTTAATGTTTGCAGAATTCATCATTTATCCTTTAATATCTTCCTTATACTTATCAGAGTAAAGGAAAGTATGAAGTGATGATGGGAACCTACAAAAATGCAGCTGAGATGGTTGACCTGTATGTGGAGCTGATCAACAAGTTCCCTTCAATTATTGCCTTAATTGATCCTTTCAGGAAGGAGGTAACAGGATTCAACTTGAATTTTATAATAAAACAGAATAAAATATTTCTTTTGGATCTGTAGATTTGAAATGTGTTGTAATTTGGGCTGGGGCTGAGTTGCTTTATTTTGGCATTTTTGAGAAAAGGCACTTACTAAGCAAATGAATAGCAGAAACACACAGGAGTGTGCCTGTCTATGGAATGAAACAAGTATCTCCCAGCACTTCAGGAATACCTGGGTATTTACAAGCAGCCTAACTGATGGCAGGCGAGCCCAATGTGCTAGCGGGTGTTTCAATAGGTTAATCACATATCATTTCCAAGTGCTCATGGAAACAGGACTTCAACTAGGCCAAATGTTTTTTAAACCTAAATCCAGTTACTATGCATGCACAGAAATTACAAAGCCATATTTTTAAAAGGTGTGAGATATTGAGGTTTCTGATTTATTCACACTAATGCACCTAATGCATTTTTTCACACTAATGCAGGGTTGTTTATGTGCCATAGAACTCTCTCTTCCTAACCCACTTAAACTTCAAAACTTACATTCTTGATTTTATGAATTTGAGAACCATTAGATATAGTGAGCTGGTACCCTCTTTGAGACAACTCACCTATTTAAATTTGAGGGACAAAGAGAATGCTGGATCTTACTGGAGCCCCAGGCTCTCTCAGTCCCATCTTTCCTTTCACAGACTGTGCTACACCCCAGCACTTGTGGAAGATGCTGAGCCTAGTTCTTTAATCTTGCCAGACCTATCTTCTGCTTCTTGTCCCAAGGCTCTGGCCACAGCTCTTTTTAATGCGATAACCAAGGCTCTGGCCACAGCTCTTTTTAATGTGATAAGATGTACCTGCATGGTCTGTTCTAATGGGACAGGTTGAAATCTGGTACAATGGCTGGGAAGACTGTACATTACTATTTAAATAATGAGCATTTCATTTCATTTGGTGGTCTCACCAATAAAAAATAAGGGTGTTGGGAATGAGGGTCTTCATCCCCGCAGGCTCATTTCCTTCAGTTTCCTTTTTACCAGAAATAACACTAAAATCTCCTAACCAGCCAGTCTTCAGCAGCATCATGGATAACACAGTGGGTAGGAAGAGCCTGTGCTTGAACGACATAATTAATGTGGAGAATAGCATTTAATGTGTATTAACATTTTATTCACTAGATCTTCAAGCTCAACTTTAATCACTCTAAGTTTCTGTTCCATGAAGCTTGTTAATTTGTGTGGCTGTGGTATGGGCAACATGAAGCCGCAGATGCAAACAAAGCAAGCCCCCCACCCCTGTTTTGTGTGTCTCAGAAAGGTGTGTAACTGATTACGTGCTGTATGATTCCTGTCGTTTTGTGGTGATGTCCCCTACGTTGTAATGATCAGTTCTTAAATATTTACCCAGGACTCTGAACAGTGGGACAGCATCTACAATGCTCTTGGCTCCAAGTGTTACATAATTGCAGGCACCGCATCCAAAAGCATCTCTAAACTTCTAGAGGATGGGAACGTCGGCATCCTCAGATGCAGCGGGCTGATCGTAAAACACACAAATCAAACTACGATGTCCGACTTGGTGGAAGTGACCAATCTTATTGACAGTGAGTAAAAGTATAGCTCTGAAAGACTCATAATGAACTTAAATATGCAGTATATCAGTTAATAAAAAGCATGGAATAAATCTTGGAAGAAAAAAACACCCCAACCATTTGTGAGTGATTCGGTACTGGAAAACAAAACGCAGCTTACTACTGATTCACTTCATAATGTTCCAGTAACAGCCCTGCCCGGGGGCCCTCCCCTTCAGGGAGGGCTACTGCAAACAGGTGGCTGAGGCCACAGCCCTCTCAGCTTCACAAGACACCACAGTGATTTTTTTTTCAATCACTAGCCCACAATGGCTTTTTTTCAACTCCTCAAAAGTTTCAAACTTTTTACAGCCTTGAGGTCTTTGAACATGCTGTTCCTTCGGCCTAGAATGCTTTGCCCTGTACCATTTAGTTGGCTAACTATTCCTTCAGGTCTTTTTGCCTTAAATGAAACCTCTTCAGGTCTACATGCCTTCCCTGACTTCCTCCACCCCTCACTGGTTGCTCTGAACCTTTCTTATCCTATATTTTCAATTATAGTACTGTTCACAATTACTTGTAGGCTATTTAACGTCTGGTATCCTCCACTAGACTGTAAACTCCCAGGAGTTCATGGGAGTTTTGTTCACTTATGCACAGGGCCTGAAACATGCATATCGTGAGTGGGTCTCAGGAACTAGGCAGCAGGCTGGTCTCAGACCTGGAGCAGGACTCAGAGCGAGCCTGGCAGCCAAGGGCCTGGGCTGGTGCCAGAGGCTGGAATGAAATGCCTGTAGTCCCTTAGCATGCAGGCTGCCCTGGTCTACGGCCCAGACAGGGTGGCGTGCAGGTGGTGGATGGAATGCCCCAAGGCCTGGTCTTTCCTCCTGGGCCTACCTCTCAAGCAGCCATTCTGTCATCCACTCCAGATAGCTGCTGTAACTCCTGCCTGTAAGACACAACTCTGTCACCATAGGAAGTACTTTGGCTTTGCAGTCTTGTAGACTGTGCAAATTTTAAGGGGTTTTGAGATCTTCAAGTGATTGATTAAATACTATCAGCACTGCTTTCCTAATAAGTTAACATTCAGAACGACAGATTCCTTTGCATAAAATTTTACATGAATTGTGAAATCCATTATTTCGGCATATAATGGCCTTGCACTTACTGTATATTTTGACTCAAAGATGCACATTGAACATGATCGACCTTGAATTGTGTCTTACAGCTTAGAAATGCATCAGTCTAATTTGAGCATTTTCCCTCTACAGTGGTAATAATGGTGCCTCTTACAATTTATGGTATGTTAAATTTGATGAAACATGGCATTCATTTAGTATTTATCATCTAAACTACTGCAAAGGGGTAAACAAATAAAATCAGGGTAGTAAAAATGCAAACGTTTGGGTTAGAATTCTCAGGTGGTCAAATAATTGACTCTTCACAGTTTTAAATCTCTGGCAAATTTTAAATTTTGATCCCAGAGGCTCATATATTTGATGATTGTTTCCATACGATCTAAAACTGGAAAGAATTCCTCTGCTCATAGGTAAGAAGCACATCGCTGTCTTTGGAAGTGCAGAAGCAGAGTCGTCTGATGACAGCCTTGTCGATTTGGTAAGTGCTGAAAACCGGTCAATTGCAGAATTGCCAAGACACTGCTTTTATCCCGAATTGGTATTTCAGAGAAAGGCGGTCTGTGGCAGAGAAAGTCATGTAACCTTTTATGAAACAGACTTGCTTCCTCCCAGAGAGCTAATCTTTGAACTTTTAAAAAGAAGAAAAATTGAAGTCCTGGTAAAATGATGAGCACACTTAAATGGCTGGGGTGTGCACGTGCAATCTTACCTCCTAAAATGAAGTAAGCAAGGCCAGAATGCTCTTAGATAAAAATCAGCATGCTTACATGACTAGTAGAGCATCTGATGTACAGTCACACTATCTCTCTACCTTTGACACTTTCAGCTTACAAGCAGGCCACTTTACTCATGTAACAAAATGAGAAATTAATTTAATGAGAGCAAAAACAAAACAGCACACAGGGGCAGTGTCCTTTCTCCCTAAAGAACTGTTTTTAGTTTAGCAAAATATGACTCCATTTAAAATAAGCTGTTCCCTCACCTCTTTAGGCCGTTGGACTTGGTGTCCGGTTTATCAAGTTGGGAGGTCTTTCTCGTGGCGAACGGGTGACTAAGTACAATCGCCTCTTTACTATAGAGGAAGAACTTGTCCAGAATGGAACACTGGGTATGTGCTGCTTTCTTGCTTAGTTTCACTTAGCCATGAATAAGAGAACAAAGATTGGGAGATGGGGGAATAGAAGTCTCTCGGCAGGAGGGCAGGGAAATCCAAAGACTATAAATAAGTGCTGACAAAACTAGGATGGCATTTGCCACGTGTATTGTTTTCTTAATGGATTATCTATTTACCTGAATGTTTAAAACTCTAGCCCTAATCTTGATGAATAGGCTGTGTGATGCTTTTCAATAGACTTAATTGATTGGAATTTCCAAGCCTACCTTTTGTTATGGTCCAAATTATACTTAAGGTTTTTCTGCACAGCCCAGGAAAGTTAAAGGTGGATGTTTTCCTGGTGGTTCTTGGCAACAACTCGTTTTACTCAAGTAAATAGCATGTTAATTTAATGTACCTTGGAAAGGCTATGGTCTCAAGAGAGATGAACCAATCATTTACGACATCAAACTTTGTAAATCTGCATGGGTAGAAGCACCTTATGTACTGGCTAATTGGAGAGCAACACCCCAAATATACATTTTTACTCTATATATTACTGACTGTGATAGCCAAAACAAAGCATGCAAAGACATTTAAAGAGACCAATAGTTGTCTCTGAAATTCTAAAACTATTTTGTATTTTAAAATAGAATTGATATACTGCAAAAAAGTATGTTAATTAAGCAGTGCTGACATACTTGTATACCATAAATGAAACTATTAAATGAGATAGATGTATTATAGAATGTATTGTGGAACATACCGATTATTGAATATGAAAGCAAGGAAGTACTATTTTGTGACTAATAGGAATTTCTTTAAAAGCGACCAAGAGAAATAGTAATTATTAATTTGTCACGTTTAACATAGGTAATGACCTTGTTTTCTAGAAAACAAAGATATAATTGGGAGACTATTTCTAAGTCATGAGAGGGCAGTCAAAATTTACTTTGTATTGTTTAGTGTGTAACAGTCAAAAGTTACTTTGTATTGTTTAGTGGGTAACATGAAGGCTTGTTTTTTCAAATAGGTAAAATTATACTGTTCCTACATATCAGTCTGATTTTTTGTCATCCTGACTTGTGGAAGCTTTAGGTTCCTTCAGTGACCTATCACATTTCCAGCCAGACTTCACCACGAGGGAAACAGCTGCTTCAGGGCATCAAAAAGGACTCTAGTGACTGGAGGCCCAGCCCCTCCCTGGTGACAGTGCCAGCCCCTGAGCATTCCGGAATGGATTAACAGATTAATGAGGATTTCGCTGACATTGGCAGTGGTCAATAAATATGAAGGGGACCAAAAAACTGGAAAACCAAATCACTGCACTGAGAGATTGAGTAGGAAATCTTGTCAGAAGCTCAGTCATTAAAACACTCTCCCTGCCCAGAAACACGTGGAACCTGACTGGAATAGTCTTAAGTCCTCAGTGGTTTACCTTGGAATAGTTAGTTGGCAATGGTCTGTCTCACACAGAGTACCAGCCTTTCCTCTAGTTCATCTTCCTCTTATCCTTTGCTGCTCAGCCTCTGCCCAAAGTCTGCTGTAAACCAAATGTTCCAGAATGTTGTCTAAGGGTACACTGCAAACTCAAGTGTATTGCAGTTAATGTATAAACAATGACATGCCCACTTTAAGGTGGTTCTACAATCCTTCCTAATGGTGATGTGACACTTCTGGACAGTTCTAAAGATGATCTCCTTTAAATCATGTAACAAAGAACGTCAAAATTGGCACCACTGGATTAGACAGTAAAACTTATTGTTGTTTTTAATAGGTTTCAATGAAGAACACACATTTTTCTACTTGAATGAGGAAGCCGAAAAGGCTGCCGTGGCTGGTGAGCTTCCTGAGCCCCCGGAGCCCATCTTCGCCACAGAAGTTGTGGAGGAATCAGCCAAAACATGAGTGTCTTCCAGACGTGCTGCACACGCCCCAGCTGACAGACACACCACTGTATTATTAGACTGGGAGCTCTCAAGTGTGTCTTCATTTTGGTTTTGCTCTAAAACTTCACTAACTCGTGTGCTTTTTCTTCTTTTAATTTCACTGTTTGGTGAAATACAGAGATAGTATTTTGCCCGGAGTTATACCTGTGAACCTTGTCTTCTGGCCATCACGTTCCTATGGGGATCTTGTTTGTATACGAGCTCTCCTGTCCATTTTGGGGGGTCATGACCTAGTAAAAGAGTACAATATTTTTGCCACCAACTCCACACTCAGTTCAAATAGCTCATACTTTACAAGTCAGAACATTTCTGAAAAAAATCTTTCACGCTAGGAGCTCTCTCTGCCAGGAAGGTGTACATCTTCTGTTTCACGGATTTTTTAAGAGCGAATAGCTTCCTCTCACTTTCCTACCCTTAATTCCCTTTTCTTTGATTCCCATCTCTTTCTAAATTTTAGTTGTTCATCTATCATTTATATCTTTGGGGGTCTCCTCAGATCCTTTTTGGAACAAGAATGAGCATAAGTGAGTAAACACATCAATGAATGAATATTCTTAAAGCAATTAAATGCCCAATCATTTTTACTACAGCATCTAGTAGGTGATTAAAAATGATGCAACATATAGATTGGCTGAATTGTCTCTTCTGAAAGCCAGTATCAGGGTTATAGCAGAGGATGACCAGAAATAAACATATTCAAACACATACCTATAGATATAATATCCAACTGCTTTATATGATTTAGATTCTCTGTTCAAACTGTTACCTTTTGTCTTTCCCCCAAATTATATAAATTGCTATGTACTGACCTGTGGGAGAGTTGGCTAAGTTTAGATTTCTGATATATTCCATAAGTTTTTACTAAGCATACTGAGGACCTCTCCTTTTGAAGAGTACTAAGAGGGGAAGGTAATGTCCTTACGGCAGAGCCAAGGCCTTACTCTAAAAGCAGTGATTTAAAATAGGTTCAGTTGCAGATTCTCTCAGAGCACAGGGCAGGAGAACTGGTTGGTATCACTCTAAGTTGGGAGAACTGTGTCACAGTTTGTTGTTGCTACTGCCTTTCCCGATGCTTAGCAATAAACAACGGATGAGTGTTCAGATAGCCTCCGCACATGTACACACACACACACACAGACGAAATATGGGAGATCGTATGAGAGTATGCCCTGGAAATGTGACAAAAATTATAATTAAATGAATGAAACTAGAGAAAAAAGGTAGAACCAAGTTAATAACTGAATAACTACATTAAACTAACCAAAGAGGTGATTTATTACCTCACCAAGTCAACACTTTAATTTCAGCGCTGAGCACAGCCTACTCACCGTTTCCTTACTTGAGGATTGAGGTCACCAATGGATGTGTAGCATTTCAAGTTTTTGAAAGTGATAAGCATTGTTTCTATTTATATATTTTCTCTCTCTCTCTACATATATGTTAAAGGATATAAATAAATATAAAACATATATATATGGAATCACATGTAAAGAGATGAAAGAAACTCATCATACCCTATCTTAAAAAATGGCAGTGGGACTGGGAAATGTTAGTGCTCCGAAGAAACTTCAAACCAAATCCAATCCTTAAGTAAGGGCTGCCTGATGATCTTCCTAAGGTCAGCGATGATAAGAGACAGTTATCCATTCTCCACAACTTATTGCCATATAAACTGAACCTGTTCCACGATGAAAGTGATTAAACATGTATAGTGTGCGTTTATAAAAATCATCCGAACTTTGTTTTTAAGATTCTGTGATACAGACTATACACTATACCTAACATACAACCTAAAAATGGTCTGAAAGATTAACAATAATCTCTACCTGTACTACTCCATTTCTAACAAACATTTACTGTTAACAAAACAGGTGAGGAAGGAGGAATTCCTGGCGAGTAGCCAGAGCCAAAACACGCATCTTGTTTTCCTCAACAGGCCAATCAAGGCGGGTGGTTACAGCCCTGCTAATTCCCTCCACAGGACTGATCAACGGCTGAAACCACTGTAGGTGAGGAGTTTATGTGAGACTACCTCAGATACAAAAGGATGCTAGAATTAATTTTAGCAAATTAATTTTAAATGCTTTGTGATGTTGGTGAAGAAATAAGCAGCTCAGAAAAGGCAAGAACACTTTCAAAATACTGCACCAGTGACTAAATGTTGCTTGGTCCAGCTAACACATTTCACAAATGGTTAACTCCTTACCCTGGAAAGGGTGTGTGATTAAATATGGAATGACAAGTGTACATATTTTTATATTCCTAAATATGTGTAAGACACATGCCAGCAGACTGATAACAGACACAGGAATGCAGAAAGCAGGAAGAAACAAAGAATAGAATTCCTCAAAATAAACCATTTTGTGGATTATTAAAAATTACTAAAGTTATAAAGTCTTACACAATTTTCATATTAAAGAATGTCAAGTTTGGGGAACTAAACCAAAAATGTCAATAACCACAATTGACCTTTAATAGGAAACTGTTGGTGCTTTTTAATAAGTGTGGTGAGGAGAGTTCAAATCACAGCATAACAGAACTTGTTTAAGTGAATTAATGCAGTTTGTAGTTAGTATATCATATAGCAGTATTATTCAATTAGGGGAAATCACAGTTGAAAAACATTACATTTTAATTCCCTATGAGTAAACTGATAAGTAACTGTAAAATCATCACTGGAAAAACATGGAAACAATCAAGCATAACGAGCCTACAGAAAGATAATTATCTCCAAATTTAGGAAGTACATTTACCTGCCTATTCACCTTTTCAAGCCTATGTTTAGCATACGTGCAAAATAAAATACAACTACTGCAATTATTACTATCATTTTCTTTTGCCCTTAGGTGAGAAACACCTGACAGCTTCATGCTGAGCTATGCTAACAAAACGAAACCTTTCACTTTCTTTAATAGTAAAATTACCATTACTGAATCACTGTCATAAAAAATGCACTCAAGTACATTACCACTTATTTTAAACAAACACCAGTTTTGAAACAATCAACTTTGAAAAGCTGCATAAGTGTTTTTTTAATCCCTGATTACATTTGTATTACTCACTGTGGTAGACTGAAACATTGTATTTTTAGAGACTACCACCTAATTTCTTTAAAGAGAACAACAGACCTGTGTAATGTAGAACAGCAGTGAAGCAAGACAATTGTATGCCTGTCACCCATCTTCACTGTACATAAGAACTGTGATAAAATATGGTCCTTGTGCCACATGAGTCCATGAGAAAACAATTAACTCACAGCACAGAGCACGCGGCTTATCAAGATAATACTCTATTAATTCAGGGTTTGGACTTTCACCTCAGTTCTGCCTTCTGGCCACTAGAGCCTTCCCCTCAAAGTCCTTGGGAGGCTGTGGACACAATCAATAGTATGTGTTTTGCATCCCACAGTTAATAATGTGTGTAATTAACACTGGGTATGGGACTACTAGTTTGACATCAGCTCCTGAATTTTAAGCTTATCTCAGTATATCCTAGAAAGCAATTTGTATGCCACAGTGCCTAACCATTTCCATGCTACTGAAGTTTCTCCATCAAAAAAGGATCAGACCCAAAACAGAAGCTTCTTTGGGGGCTTTTAAAATCACCTTAAGCTAGTCACTTCTGTTTATCCAATTACACACAAGTGCTGCAAACTTTCATCATTACATTTGATTAGTGGTATGCACATTACCTAAAAAGATGACATGAATTTTTTGTAAACTTCTAAAAGAAGTCACACTTAATACAGTAACTAGAAAAAAATCTTATCCCTATAAAGATTTAAAAAACTACAAAGAATGTGTACTTTGCTAAATAGCTTACTTATAAGTGAACTTACAAAAGTGACATCAAAAAAGAACCTATACTCTGAATACAGTGACAAGAACAGAATGTCTATAGCCCTTGCCAATACACCAAAACTAAATCATGTGCTTGTTGAAAAGGACTTCTGAACATATCCGCCTTCTGGTTTATGGATCAGCAGTTGGAGCTGTCTGTATCTCTTATTTTTTCAACACTGTCTTCTTTGTCTTCTGGTTTAATTTCACCTTCATCATCCTTGTGTTGAGCTGGATCTTTTTCAGCGACCTGGTCTTTGGTTTGGGGTTCATATGTGGAAACAGGATCTAAAACTACAACTGGTTCAGCTTGTTTTTCACTGCCAATGTATTGTCTCCTGCATCCAGTGTTACTGGGAGGCCTAGGGGATGAACAGTTAAACAAAAAAATTAAAAGCAGAGAGAGAAAACATTTATCTTTCAGATTCCTGGATTCAGATGAGCAAAAACCCCAAAACGTTCTAAGTCTAATCAACATGCAAAAAGTGGTCTTTGAGGTGCCAGCCATTACAAAAAAAAAAAAGCTATTAGATTACATATTAGGAGCACAAGGCCAGAAGACGGAAAAAGAGCAATTAACTGCATAAATGTTAAAAAGCCAAATGCACCTACCTGCTTAATTGCATGCTCTTCTCACAGAAGCACAAAGCTCACGGATACTCTGTGCCACCTCCCCACTGCCTGCCGCCCCCAGACTCCTGTCCCACCCCCACTTAGCTGGAAGGAGCGAGTTAACCCCTCCCTTGTGTGCCGGGGTACATGTGATTGCAGATTAGTTCTAAGACTGCAGCAAGGAGGGAAATAAACCACTCCCATCCCTGATGGGCAGCTGAGAGATATGCCAACTGCTGCCATTACTGGCAAGAACAACTCTGGTCAGACCTGTGGAGGTATGAGGGAAGGAACAAAAGCAGATGGGAGAATCCAGAGAAGAAGTTGAAATGCTAAGTTACCATACACTTTTTCTAAAAAAGGAGAATCACGTTTGAGAAATTTCTTATTGAATTTCAAATGCAGTTTCTTTTTCCACTGAGGTTCCCTTTCTTCTCTTCTAAGAAGCTACTGCTTCTCAAGCTAAATGGGCAACAATTTCCTTGTGGAAACAGATGTCCTGAAACACTCTTCTCTTTTCACGTGTCAGGAAATTAGGCTGTGGGCACCTAGTCCTCTCAGAAGTCAGGTCAGAAGCCATCATCTGAAGGTACTGGACTGCTGACCTGATGCGTGGAGGTTGAAGGGTGTGTAGTAGGCAGGGCAGAGGCTATTCAGACTTATCTGGTCTTCTTGGCAAATGCTGGGATACTAACCATGACCCAGCACGCCACTGTCCCACTTCCACCTCTGGATGTCAGGATGTGTACTGGTGAACTGTTGGCCAGGGTCTGCCCATTGCTCTACCAGCCCCTCACCAGGCTTGATTTCTACTATTCCCTGACCCCTAGCTCAGATCTGCTGGTTAGACACTCTCTTACCACCTAATACTTGTCCCTTGTTGGATTTACCACAGTTATAATTAAATACTGGCAACCAGCTGTTCAATGTCTCTCTCTTCAAATAAAATGTAAACATCCATGAGGTGGACTGTTCAGCTTTGTTCACAGATCTATGCCAGCATCCAGCGCAGATCCGTTTGTGGAGTAAACAAATGAGCAAATACTAATGAACTGCTGTGTGTGAAAGGCTCAGAATGAATGTGCAGAAACCAAGGCTTTGGTGTGAGTAGGTCTGAAGGTCTCTCTTATACAACAGAAGTAACAGAACAAATGATCAACTATTGAGACAAAGTGGCCTGCACGATCCAGCCACAGGTACCAAAACTCAAACCCAGTGACCTCAGTTTCATCACCTGGTACTATGAGATCTGTCCAAATGTCTGAAAACCACTCCATAGGGCTATCCAGTTCTACCATGTGACTTGATCATCATTCATAAGTGACTAGCACATAACTGTCTTCTTTGGAGGCCGTAAAAGCAAAGAGATGACCTGAGAGGAAAGCTATACTGTAGTGAGGACAGATTCCTTTATTTTTGCCTGGATTTGTCAACACCCTTGTCATTAGAAAACACCATGACACTGCCCATCTACCTTGGCCCATCCACTTCTCAAGATATCTGTTACTGTGCGTTGGGAATCAATATGGGATGTAGTTGGTATCTGGCTTGACTTTCTCTGACCCAGGCAACACCTGGAAGGCTCAGTCCATTAGGCTATGGTCAGAGAAGCAAAACCCCCATGAATGGCATAAAGGATTCATTATAGGCATTAGACCTCAGGCAATGGAGCGAGTGAGTTAGTTAGGCAGTCTACGTGAGTCTGTTGCCTCTGTGTATTATGCTGGGCCTGAAATCAGCAGGTCTTGCAGCTGAAAAGGAACTTGGGTGAAAAGTGGCAGGAAGCTGAGGACAAACCAGAGCAGCACCTGTCTTTCACAGTCACCAATCCCGATGATGCAGATGAGCTGCAGGATAAACTGGAGCCCTTCCACATGGAATTTGCACATGCACCTGGCCTAAGATTTGGGGAAGCTGGAAGGGAGATGTGGGGAGCTGGAGAAACTGTGGGCCAGCTGTGCCACATGCCAACTAGGTGACAACGCGCATGAATTGTAAAAGAGCCTGCCCTACGCAGACTTTTGGGAGCATTAAAAAAAAAGAAGACTATTATGTCACTCCCACTTTCTAAATCTCGTGCAAATTTCTCCTGTAGACAACCCTAACCTGGAAACAAATGGGAAAGGGAATTTTCGGAAATGCAGTTCCAAGTTCTGGCCTAGCTAAAGTTGTTACAGTCAAAGCCACACAAAGTCTGCTGGTCAAGTCCCCAGTGTGGTTCCACTACCCTGGGTCTAAGCCTCATTGTATAGAAGCCAGCCAGTCTGCTCTACGCATGCAAAGGAAGTATCCATCTCATTCTAGGTGAGCAACTTCCATCAACCCATACTGACCTTCATCACTTTTGTAGAACTACCATGGAAGTTCTCATGCCCATGTGTGTCTGCAGATGAAGGGGTGGTAAACACATCCTAAAATGCTTTCTTCATCAGCTGGAGGCTGAAAACTTCGAGGGAGCTCTCAGGGCTCCACAACAGCAACAAATGATGTTGACTGAACTGAAAACTCAGAAACTTTGTATTGCCAGGCTGAAACTGTCCTGGAATTGTCTCAGTCCAGAGAACTGTTCTTTCCTGAAGTAGGCTTCTTAATAATAGATTAATCTATTATTAAGTCACCTGTACACTCCAATTTGAGAACACCTTTATTATCACTGAACTTGGCACAGTGGAAAATTATGTGTTGAGAATCAGAGTAACTACTTTCTTGAAGATAATGACCACTGACTTGGAATCCCAATGGCTTAAGGCTAAAAGGGACTATGGCAATCATCTAGTCCAACTAGTGCTTTTACAGATGAGGAAGATGAGGTTTGGAGAGAGGGAAAGCCTGACCTAAAATTATACAGCTTATCAGTGGCAGAGCCAGGACAAGAATCAGAAGCTCCTATCTTCCTGTTCCTGATTTTTCCACAACATCACACAGCTATTTACCAAAGGCATCTTCCAAAAACACGATAATGATGCCACAGGCTAATTCTGGCATGTTTACTGATTCTTTCTGAATCCCTGTTTTCAGCTTCATCTTTCAGAACTATAAATATAAAATCCATCCCTTCAAGCTACCCCTCGTTTTTTGTTGTTTTTTTTTTTTTCCTTTGTGACTTAAAGCTAGCTCTTCCTGGTTTGACATCATTAAGTCCATTCCTGGTTCCCATAGGGAGCTGCCCAGGGCTCCTTCTGGAATGAAGGGCCTTCCTCCTAGGCTTCATTTCTAACTCCATTCCCATCTCATGGGAAGAGCCAGAAAGCTCCATCAGTGATGTTGCCAAGAACCCAGGCTCTTGCTCTAGGCAGCCATAGTGGCAGGTTCTACAAGGTTAAATCTGAAGCTTCTCCCCCAAGGTGAAAATCCCAGCTGCTCAAATGCAACAATCCAATGGGAATTGCCGTATACTATTGTTCCATTCAATTTTTCTTCTTTAATTCTTCATCTAAGAGCAATGACCACAAATACGGAATTAAAATTCAGTATTCATAAAACGTACGGCAGACCTTCTCCTGTAGGCTGCAAAATCTCCAAGTAAAACTTAAATTTTATAGGTGACATAAAGACTAAAATCATGGAATGTTCAGTCTGAGAGGGATTGCTGACATGAACTAGTCCAGCCTTTTCATTTGTCAGGTGAAGACACCAAACAAGAGTGAGTTACATGATTTGTCCAAGGGCACACAATTTGTTGACAGCAGATACAGGATTAAAATTGTGGACTCTTGACTTCCTGTCCAGTACTTTTTTTTCTTACCACAACATACTGCTTGTGATTTTTAACCCAATCAAATAGATATTTTCATGGGTCATTTTAAATCATTTGTTAAGTGCTATTTCAAGACAAAAAGAAAAACCCAAAAGCAAAATAAAAGCTAGGAGACAATATATCAATCTATACCACTCTGTGAAGCCTGATGCCCAAGTACAACTTGGTTGCTCTTTCACAAAGCAGTTACTTCTCCCCCACCTCCAAGAGGGCCAGAGGTAGGGCTGGGGCAGATGAGGCCACCTGCTGACTCCAACTGGTACTGGTACCAGAAGAATCAGAACAGCTGCAAACGGTATTGCCAAAGTTGAACTTTATAGTAAAGGGACTCAGTGACTTATCAGACTGTGTTACAGGAGATGAAATTGCAGCATTCGAATTTTTAAAAAGCACATCATGGTTTGCATTCAATGAAATTCCTTTCAAAATCGACTTTCCACATTCCAATTATATTCAGCAACATTCGAGCTAACATTTCAGCTGCAATTCAAATTAACTAATGCCCAAAAGAGTCCTAATAGACATGGTTCTGAGCTCAACTGAATACAATCAAAGCTCACGAAATGAAGTTGGAAAATGCTTATTTCATGCAAATTCTGCATATCACTCAAGCTTAATTCTACTGATAATATAAAGGTGGGACATTTTGAACATTACAGTGAATGAAACTTTTAAGCAGTGAGAGTTATTTTATAAAATGCTACCTCTGAAAAGCTGACTGCCAAACAGTGTAAAAATGGTTTGAGGCATAAATGTCAAGTTCATTTCTATTTCACTTCTGAGGTAACTATCTTTCAAATCGCAACAGCTGGACTATTTAACACAATCTGGTGAATCAAAGTATAGTTCTTCTCTGGTCTCCCAGTGGGACGCCTGCATTAGTCTGTGGCAGCCATCCAACAGATGACGCACAGCCGGATGGTCTGAACTCTGTTTCATTTACAATAAAAATGGATAAAGCTACAATCATATTTACCACCTTCAAGGGTAGAAAACGGCAAGATTTAAATTTGTCTTTATAAAGTAGTTTCCTGGGAAAACTCCAAAGAGGAAGTCAGTTTTATATCCTCCCTTGTGTAAAAATAAGAAGTCTTACTTTTTTTCCCCCCAAGCCCTTTATACAGTTACTACAGCAGTGAACAGTAGTGGCATTACAACAGAGGTAGTTTTTATTGTTTCTCTCAGACATCCTATTTTTCAGGATATTTTAACACACTTATCCAAAACTTACCAAAATAAAATTTCAAACATAAGATGAAACTTTCTATATTATTGCTAATTCTAATACTTTTAAATATAATGAAGGTAGAAAAAACGAAGCTAATTTCTTTTGGCTTTGTGTACCTTTTGAAACTGCGTTTTAGTGCAAAGAATAAATTAGTTTGCCAATTTGGGTCAGCTTCTATTTGAGGGAAAAATAGGTAGCATTTAAATTATGAAAAATAATATTGGTAAACAACAGAATACCGCCATGGTTGAAAATCTGACATCAGCTTCTAGATGCTAATTTGCCATAAGATTAACAAGAATTCCTTTTTAACAGAGGTAACAATGGCTGGGCAAAGACCTCTGTGTCCACACTGAGCCATAGTTTCTTTGGTGGAAAAACTGCAGCACAGCCATCTCAGTGCACGGGTTATATCTCAGACCACAGTGCACGTTACGAAGCCTTGTCCCAGTTCTTTTATTCTTCTAGCGTAAGCTGGACTGTGCACATTTACAGATTCCAAAATACACTGGCCCAGGGAGGCTCAGGAAACTGGACCATTCTCGCCAGCAAAATCAATGATAAAGCATGAACTACGACTGATTTTAGCACAGGCAAAGATTCTTAAATGTGTATGATACTTTTTTTGGCTACTTTTTAAGCTTTTTGTAATTTTGTACAACTTTAAGTCACCATGGAAAATCCATTGAGATCTCAGCTATGAAATGTGAATATTATTTAAAAGAGATATTTTAAGGAACATAAAGGCTTCCACAAGAGACACCATATATAAATAACACTGGCTCCTCAAGAAAGCTGCCATGCACAGAATGTTTGCATTTTCATTCTTAATTTTCAGAGCAATGTTTTTTAAATTTTAAAAGATTTTTCTTTAAATTTACTATATTATATACTTTAAACTCTCTTTTAAGACAGGAAGTCATGAAGCATTCAGTGTGTTACTTTTCATACAGTTATATGACAAAATATATTTTAAATGAAAAGCATTTATCAGGTTTCAGAAATTAAGTCAATTTATCCTCAGATCTGAAATTGCATTTAAGTTTTAGCCAGACTTCTATTTGAATAAATTTTAAGTCTCCACTACTCCACTATATAAAAATAAAAGGAAACACAAATACTGCAGACTATTGAAAAATGTTTTAAAAAAATGACAAAGCACCAAAAGCAATATGGTTCTCCATGGAGAAATGATATATTTTATGCTAAGTCTCTTAAAACCATAGGTGTTTGCAACTGGAGGCAAATGTTAGAAGGCAATTAATTCTTTGAGAGAATTGACAATTACTCAGCAGCATTTTAACAATTATTTTGAGATTTACGCAACAGAACTTTAACACTAGGTGTAATATAGCCTCAACAATTAATGTGGAAGAAGCTGCTGTCTGTAAGGCAACTCAGAACACCTGTAAGACAAAACTGACAGGCGGATCTTCTGGGCAGCCCACAGGAAAACTCCTTTGGAGGGGGGAGGAAAAAGAGACTGAGTGAGGAGATCTCAACTTCCAGAACATCCAGTTCTTCTGCTAATTTTGTTGTTAAAACTTAATTGTCCATGTACAGGAACACATGGAGAACCTTTGTAGTAGTGCTTTGCTGAGCAGAGCTGTTTCCTGCAGTGTCAGTACACAATTCAGCCGTACTAAGATTACAGTTGAGAGCACAGCAAATCCTTTAATTGTATAAGAGCATCAGATTAAGCAGTAACTTCCATGCAGTTCATTTGCTAGCTAGTAGTCTCTTCTCAGAAACAAATGTTTGCTAAGTACAGGGAAGGTGCCCTCCTTTCTCGCACCATGCATGCAAATACACATATGCACACATACACAAAAGGAGAGAAAAGAGGAGAGGAGGAGGAGGAAATGGTAGAGTTGGGAGTAACAGGAAGAAAACCTATTCTTTCCACCACAAGCACTAAAAACTTCTCTATTTTCCATCTGAACAAAATGTTGACCCAAATCCCTCTAAAGTAAGTGAAGAATCTCAATTTCTATTTGGTAACATATTTCAAAAGCTCAGATTCTCCAGCTGCAATGCAAAAGAGCAATACCTTTCAATTTCATTTACAAAAATTAATCTTACAAGAATTAATCTGTGCGGGGCCACAGGTCACACGTATTTAGAGACACCACAGACCTAGAAATTAAATGCAAATTAAAATAAAAATGGCTGCACTGGAAACGGTCATTTTTCTACTGAAATTGAAGTCCTGTAATTGCTACATAGGTTTTTGTTTTTTAAATTCTTCTAGGGCACAATGTGACCCGTTTTGACCTCCCAAACAAAAAAGGCACGCTAGCCGCCTGTCTGATGGTTGAAAAGGAAATTTTAAAGAGCTTGATAAAGCTTAGAGTTTTGGGGAGCTCTGGGGTTGAAGAGGGGCATGATGAATTAGAGAAGTATTAACTGGAAGGGTCTCTGGCAATTGTGGCTTAAAAGCATCTTTGAGAATGACCAAGAGATGAGGACACAGCTATGAAATCACTGCAAATCACACCAGTTACAATGGAAACTGGGTTCTCCCCTTTGAAGCAAGGTTCTAGAGATGTAACTAGGTGAAATGACAAATCATCCTTGAGGTTGACTCCCTTGTTTAACTGTAACTGTCAGGCGGATATTCACCTTTCTGAAAGTAATTAATAGAAAAAGTGAGCACAGATGAATAAAGCTCAATACAGACAAGTAAGGCCACTTCTAGATGAGACTGTTCAGAGACAAAAAAGCAAGACTGTGAGAACACAAGATACTCTTGGGTCTCTGCCTGATTGTGATGTAGAACTCTTGTAAGATCTGCTTGTCTCTTTCTCCATACTGCAGGCCCATTTGTCCTGCCTTTCTTTAAAACAGAGATGTTCTAAAATATGATGACAATGGACACTACGCCACAAACTCAAAGGAGCTAACCAGTAATTGACCAAAGGTGGAGCTGACTCACAGAGGTGCAGCATAAAGTGGATGCAACAGTGAAATTTATTTGGGGCTGTAGAATGTATGTTTTAAAACAACTGTATTCACAGTGATTCATCTTTATATTGTCATATTATCATTTAGTAAAACACCTTTCTAATCCAGTGATTCAAGTCAGGTATTTTCAAGGTATTTGACTTCTGGGAATGAACTAATCTTCAGCATGTTTGAAATGTAAATAAATAAAAAATGTGTACATGAAACTTATGCCAAAGATTAAAGGAGCTTAGGCTGGTATTCTAATATGGTAATTTCCAAAAGTTTATTTGTGAAGCATGCCCCTTTATTGGCCATTTGACATGAAAAACACTAAAACAATTTCTTTCCAAATCTCTTTTAAGTCTTCTTGCTAATTCAGATTGGCTCTCCTTTTCAGAATTCTTTGCTTTACTGGGTAACATTTTCTTCCCTTGGCAAAAGATATATTAATTGCTTAGTTTAGCCTTAGGAAGAGGAAAGAAAAAGGAAGAGATGACACTATCTGTGAGTATGTAGGGTCAGAGGAGCAGGATGTGAATAGGGCAAATGGAGCAATTTAACTACAGAATCATTGCTTCCTACAGAAGAAACCTTAGAGTCATTTTCTTCCCTTCCATTCCTACAGCTCTAATACACTCAACGCAGTATGCTATAGCTCAAAAGCATGGGCTCTGAAGTTAGAATGAAGAAGGTTCAAATGAAATCTGACCCAATTATCGATTAGGAACAGAATTTTGGGCAAATTGTTTATGTCACTAAACCTCAGCACCTTTGGAAGAATTAAAACAACACATAAAAGTACTGGCTTCATAAATGTTAGTGAAACGATAGTAACAACAACAAAACATCACCAAAGCAAATTCCAAATTGGAAACTGGCTCGTTACTCATAGCCTCCATCTATAATCAACATAGACATCCTGCTTATAGCGATGTAAGCACATTTCCTCTCAGATGAACGCTATTATAATATGGATATATATTAATATATATCGATAAAGAGTAACAGAAAATTTTAAAAATAAAGAGGCGAAACATATACAATGGAAGGTTGTAGGCTTTTACCCCCAAATGTTTTCCCAATTCACTTCACTTACATCACTCGAGATCATCAGATCTCCTCATTCTGTGGATAACAGAGCTAACGTGTCTCAGGTACCTCACACAGGATTAAAATGGAAGACAACTCTACCCATAGCTAGGAATTATACTTGCATTTTCTTACTTATTGCTCAACTTACGTTTGCTTCTGAAATACTGACTTCCTAGTTACCCTTTAAATCAACGCCCCAGAATGTGTAAATGTGGAACTTGTCAACCTAACTGGAGTTCAAGAAGCAAGCTTTGGCTTGACTGTATTGCATGGTACTTTTCTGTACACACGGCTGGGAGACATGTCATGGGTCTGTGTCACATTTTAAAAAATGCATCTGCAATGGTGGCAAACTGATGGCCATTTCCAAAAACTGAATGAACTAGCAAAAGCCAAAGTCATTTGGAAACATATGTTGAACATACAGTAGTGGTTAAAATGGGCCATATCATTTTTTGACCAAGATAAAAACTGACACTAATTCTCTTACACAACCCGCCAAGTGGCTCTAAAGCACTCTTTACTTCTCACCCACTTTTTCCACCCCAGAATAAATGGATAGGAAAGACTGTCCAATTTATTTCCTCTGTGGTCAGGTATCTCTAATCCAAATAGGTCTAAAAGCATTTGGAGCAATAGTGACAGGGTTGGAATGAGTATCCTGACCCCTAAGAATATAACCCTGAAGGATAACAATCATTTCAATCTGGATTTGTAAGTTCCTAAGATGTAGTTTGAAAATTAAAATTTTTCAAAAACTTATTTTATATTTCTAGGTTTGTGTTTTACTGTAAATCTATACTGAGAGACACGTTGGGGGTAAAAACTATGTGCTTAACTCTTGTTCTTTATCTTAACTGTGAACATCTTTATCAAGCAACCACATTTGGGAGGAATTATTGGGATTCTAGAGCTGAAAGAGACTCTGGAGAGTGCTTCATCTACTTGCCTCAATTTTAGATAAGAAAAACAGTACAACAAAAAGTGAAAAAACAAAAACAAAACACAGAGGTTACATAATTTTCCCAAGGAAACCTGGCCCAGTCAATAAGCCAGGTGTTCAGTACCTAAGCTTTCAACTCTAACTTTTGTCCTTGATAATCCAGTAATGCCCCAGCATTATAATTTTATATTAAGATAGAAAAAGAATTTATTGAAATATTTTTCATAAATTATTTAATTTACGTGACAACCCTACAAGGTAGGTATCATTACCCTCATCTTCCACGTGATTAAATAACTTGCCCGAGGTCATAAAGATAATAAATAGCAAACCCAAGATCCGAACCCGAGGTCTCACTGTAGAGCTGGAGTTCTGGAAATAATTCAGTGCTGCTCGCCACACTGTGCATATGTGGAAAGACACTGATTTAGAAAACGGATCATGCTGTGTTTCCTTGTTACTCCTCGTCCAGTCTACAGGCTTTTCCTGGTGAAAATACAAATCATTCTTGGCTTTTTTGACCCTGTGCAACACTCAGTTAGCCTATTTCCAGTTAGCCTATTTACTGTAGCTGTCTGAAAGTAATGGAATCGTTATCTTTTAAAAATCCTATAATTTGGAATTTTCCCTATTTTACATTGACCATCCCAGCCATTGATTAGCTTGAATCAATGAGTCTTACTCTATTTTAACACTGTCAGAATATTTTGGATCAGAAGGGAAGAGCACGAAAGCAAAAATAAGGCTTATACTCTCCATTCGCTTGGTCAGCTCTTTACCTCTCATGGCATAAAGGGAGATTATGAGCATAATTCCTGTTTGAGTAACAACTAATCGGAATTAATGAAATTCAAATTCACTGTTAGATTTAAGATATTATTACTAGATAGTATGTATTCATTAGAAATAATTGAGGACACAAATATTTCTAAAGCTATTATTGAAAGATAAATAGAAACAATTAGGCTTCTCCAAGACCTGATTATCTTTTTCTTTTTCTTCTTTTTGCTTAAAAAAAAACCCTGCTTGCTCAGACTGGTGACAAGAATGTTAATTTTAATTAATCCTTGCAATTAAGTATTAAAGGTGTCTCTTGCTGTCTCATAAGTTCCTAAGAAATAAATCCATATATCTCTCTGGCTCTACAATTTACCAGATAGAAGTTACTCAGTAATTTGGAACATACACATATGTTGATTTTAGGAATTAAAAGGAAAATAAACTTTCTGGGAATAGCCTGATGCTATTTAATTTTCTGGGTAAGTGAAGATCTTATGCAGAAAACATCTTTATTTCTTCCTTCACTTTAAAAGTTTTCTTAGTAGGTTAGCAAACTTTCCTGTCCACCTGAGGCAGTGAGCACAGCCGAATCTTTCTTTTACAACTGGGTATTCTGTTGTCTCTGATAACTTTATCTTGTATAGGTTCAAAGATGCAGAAGATATGCAAAACTGAATGTAAATGACTCCTAGGCATTTAAAAAATGTTTAAAAACCCAAATAAGCAACCAAATAAACCAAAATATCTAATATTTATGTACACATATATGTGTATATGTGTGACTGCTGAATAATGGGGGAATGCTGGTTAACTGAGTATTCTAATTAATTGATATTCTGCTGTTTTATTGATACTAAAAATGTATTTATTCATTCATTCATTTATTCAACAAGTATTTCCTGAGAGCCTACCATAAGGCAGGAGTTTTTCCAGGTGTTTGAGATACACCAGTGACAAAAAAATGTCCTACCCTCATGGAGTTTACATTCTAGGAGGGGAAGAGAGAAAATAAGCATATATATAATAAATAAAGTATGTAATACGTTAGAAGATAACTGTTATGGGGGAAAATGGAGTAGGGTAAGGGAGAATCAGAGTTTAAGGGAGTTGAGTTACAATTTTAAATAGGGTGGTCAGGGTAGGTAGGTCTCATTGAAAAGATGACATTTGAGCAAAGAAATGACAGAGGTGAGATAGTGCAGCTACTGGGGGAAGGGCATCTGAGGCAAAGGGGATAGCAAAAGCAAAGAGCTGGGGTGGAATGATTCTAGGCCAGAGAGGCCAAAGTGGAGGGTGGAAGGGAGCGTAAGAATGGCAGGGACTCTGTGTGTGTGTGTGTGTGTGTGTGTGTGTGTGTGTGTGTGTGTGTGTGTTCGCAATAATGTAATGCATTAGAGCCTACTGTGATTGATATCCTCCCTTGACCTTGATTCCCTGTCAAGAGCCGATAATACCACTCACCTGAAAAACACTAAGGTGGTGTCGCCACAGATCAAAATAAGGGTGCCATTACCAGAGAGCAAAGGCACTTTTTAAAAGCAAAGGGAACATTTGCACTTTTTAACTGCTGATCTCACTTCAAAGTGACAAATCAGGTCTATGAGGTAAGACAATGTGGTTGCCTCTACCTTATGGCTAGTATAACAGAATGAACCTGCTAGCCAAAGCCAGCCAGAAACAGCCTGAAAATAACCCTTCTCATTCCTGGTAGCTAAACCTCTTTCAGGGAATCCTGAGAAATCCCATGAGTTTTTACTTTTAAAGCTTACATATGACCACATTAAGTTCTTTTACTCACTAAAAAGCTAGGTTTAAACATAAATGAATGAAGCACGTCTGGGAAGTGAATAATTACCATGTACATACACAAGACACTTGGATTCATTTGGATAGTCTAATTGTACTTAAGAAACACTTTTTCAGAAAGGCACTCTTCTTTGGTAAATGACTGTCAATATGAAAATGCATGGCGTTAGTTATTTCAGCTAAAGCATGTCAAGAACTGAATAATCAAGCATTAGATTACAAAGTTTAAAAGTTAATACAGCAGCACAGAGTATTTGTATTAGTGCTTTAAGTAGATAAATTAAATAGAAACGTGTCTCTTAAACAGTCATTGAACAAGCAAGATGAGAAATAAATTGAGCTTCACATAGGCCTTTATGGCATCTAACAACCGTGTCTGTCAACAAATGGATCCTTTTCACTGTCAATTCAGCACACATTTTGCAGACCTTGGGTCTGCAATTATTTCATTTCCTTTCTTGGAAATGTAATTTCCACTTACTTTTGGAGAATAAAAGGCAGACAAAAGAAGGAAGGAGTTGCAGTATTTTCTGATTAAGATTATCTGTGTAAAATGGTAAAGGAAAAAAAAATCTATACACACACACTATAGCATTTCTCAGAAACTAAGTTGTCTCAGCCAAATTGCCTTTGTGTCTGGATACTGGTTCAAATGCAGCCAGACTGTTGGTGTCAAATTAGGTGCTAAACAAATTTAATAGGACAGACGAAGAATGAATATAGATCATTTTTCTGTTAGAACTGTTCAAATGACTCCAGTCAAAAGAAAGAAAACACATGACTGCAGGAGAAAATGTACTTTTTAAACACAATGAAATTAGATAAAACTGTAAATCAGCAAAGAAGGTCATTCATTCCAAAAGAGGGGAAAAAAGTTAACAGTACCAATAAGAGAAACGCAAGACTGGAAGAAAATACCAGTTGGCAAAAATAGATCTAAACTGAATTGCAACTTCATTTGTCCAGGCTTCACCTTTTAAACTAAGACAGGTACAGCTACAAAAAAGGGTTCTTTCTCCCCTGACAGAACGGAAAATCAAAGGTTTAATTAACCATGATTACAATATTTGCTGATCTGATTTGTCTCACCTCTTCCTTTTCTTTATGTGACAAACCAGCTGACATCCTGGCAAGAGAACTAAAGCAAAACTAGACTAATTTCAAAAAGAGCTTGCCATTGTTATAAAACAAACTGATCCTCCACCAGATCTGTCTGAAACACATTCAATAGCAGGATTAATTCTTTGTCAATCAAAGTGCCACTTTCAAGCCATATATAGGTAACTCTTTACATAGCGTGTTTTCAGTCTCAGAATAGAGCAATATTAAGGCACATCTTTGAGAATTAGAAAATAAGGCTGTAAAAACATACCCTTCAAAGTAAGTTTGAAGATCTAGTATCTTCTTTGGCTGCTCGTGAACCATTAAGAGGGATGACCTAAGTATTTAATCTTGAAAGGATGATTAAGTGTCTTCTGATGCTGAATAAGGATCATCCAAGTCAATTCTTTGTGTAGAAGAAGAATCTGATTTTACCAAACCAGCTTAGGGATGGAATTCTCTTTATACACGTCTGCTTTGCATCAGAATAAGACCTCTAAGCTAGGAGCCTGGAATCAAAAGTTGGCTCATCAAACAGAGGAAGAAGAGTATTTATTGGCTAACCAAATTGAAATCTCTATCTAAGGAGAAACAAAGCAAAGTAACACACAAATTAGTCATCACAGATTCTTCTACACACTACTTAGTAAAGAGCATCATTACTTACTGAAATGTAACCTTGGAACTTGTGCATCCTTCCAATTTACACGACCCTTCACCTGGCTCAGGTGTTGGGGGGGACGGGCTGTTGAATTCTGCCTCCAGAGTTTTCTTGTTCAAGGCTGTTTTTGTTACACTGGATACAGAACCCAACACTGGCATGGATTTGGACTCTGAGGTGGCTAATATTCCAGTTGGACCTTAAAACCAAACACATACCTCAAGTTTAATAATTCTGTTCGATGCTTATTAATATGGTACTGAAAAACAGATGAGCTGAAAATCCCTCAGGAAGTGAAAAGGCCAAGTTTTGTTAAAATTTCAAGAGCATGCTGGAAAATGCTCCTATTAGAAATCTGCTCTGCTTTGGTGGTACTCCTGCTTTTCAGGACCACGCTGAGAAATTGTGTACAGACCTTTAACAAACTCTAAAACCCCAGGCCATGGTTTCCTCAACTGACCAGAGTCCTTTAGTAATACTGGAACTGTGAAGTCTTTACTTCTCACAGAGCATGGCTTTCTGACAGCTCTACTTGAATCATTTGGCCTCTCAAGAGTTAATTCTTTCCAAAACTCAGCTCTGATTTTAAACAGAAAACGGAATGATGTCAAAAAGCTCTTTTTAAAAGGCTCATGAAGGCTTCCTGAGCCTTAAATAGCTTTTATGAACATTTTCATTTTAATGTGATTGAGAAGTAAGTGGGTTTATTTCCTATTAAAATACAGACACAGGATTATAAAAATTAAGTGGCAAAGAGTTTGGCTGTTTACCTTTTGGACTTTTCTGCTCTTTGGGTAGGATCAGAAAACTATAATAGGGCTTGTTACTACAATTATTGGCATATCAGTCTAAAACTTCTATGCATTGAAGCTAAGCTCCATCATTACTTTTTTTCTATCTTCAGTTAGGAAGATACTATCCTAGACAGTTTTTTCAAAGCAAGACTCTAGTATGTCTTTCTTGAAACTTCAGAAGGAATCCTTTTAAAACGAAGCAATTTATGAAATGTCACGAATGTACAAATAAAATTAGAACGTCTAAAAAAATAAGCTAGAGAACAACCCTGAAAGGTGAGGCTAAAAAAAAAAGCAAAACTTGGGCTTCCCTGGTGGTGCAGTGGTTGAGGGTCCGCCTGCCGATGCAGGGGACACGGGTTCGTGCCCCGGTCCAGGAAGATCCCGCATGCCGCGGAGCGGCTGGGCCCGTGAGCCATGGCGGCTGAGCCTGCGCGTCCGGAGCCTGTGCTCCGGGGCGGGAGGGGTCGCGGCAGTGAGAGGCCTACATACCGCAAAAAAAAAAAAAAAAAAAAGAAAAAAAAAAGAAAAACTTGGGACTCTCTATATCCTTAAGAAATGTCAGATCATCTCCTAAAATGGAAAGGACTGGTGGGTACAATCCAAAATGCTAGCTAATCCTTGATTATTAATATTAGGCTTTGGAATTTTATTCTTACATTTGTATATGAATGTGTCTGATGCAGTATAACAAACATATGAACTCCAAAAATGACCTTATAATTTGAAAAACCTATCTAAGAGGGGCTGGGAAATTGTGCAGCCATTCTGTTACTGCAGCTCCTCTAGACTTACTCCACGTGGGAGACACAGATCCTCCCTGGTCTGGTAGAAAGCCTCAGCTCACAAAGCATCAGTGTCTGCCTTTCTCATTTATTTCTTCTGTACCGTCTGAGCAGACAAATTTGTGACATTATAGAATATTCTGGTTCAAAAGGCCCTTCCCTCCTGCCTGTGACAAGCCTCACGCTGCATGGGGATGTGGGGGTAAAGAGAAAAGGGCAGAAAGATCAAGAAAGTTCATTCCTCAAAGTATAAATATGAAGCTGAACGTAAGATGTGCTTCAGAGCAGCTCTGCTCAGCCCTTGGGTAACTGTTGACTGCAATACTATAGATAGCTTTAAACAATCTGTCCTTGTAGAAAAGCAAGATCTGTTTCTGAATACACACCAACGCCTGCTGCTGTTCTGCAACTGAAGCCAATTCAAAAGGAGGGAGAGTGGGTGAGCTGAGCCAGAGCTGTTATTTTTCTTACATACAAAAAGAAATAAAGAAAAATGCCTAATGTTTAAGATGATGATGAACACTATTATTACTGCATCCTATTTAAGCAGTCCAATGTTTTCCAAGAGGCACTTGCTGCTCTTAGAAATGTCAGTTTTGTAGCCCACAGTCTAGGTAAATCAAGGAAATACCAGTTAGCCCCATAAGAAAAATTCTAAAGAAAAAGGTGTTTCTGTGGCCCCTGAGGGAGATACTAACTTGGGATATGAGTTCTGCCAACCTCAGGCTGCCTCTGCCTCAATTATGATGCTTCCTTTCTCCACTTTGTAATCTCACCTTTAGCCTTTCCATAACCCTTTGTGTGCAGAAGAAAAAAATCTCAGAGATTCAAATGCACCTGAGGAACAAACCTATCAAACTTCTCTCTGTAATTTGCTCCCACTATGCAGTTGTGCTACTTTAGCATCTTATTTGCCCCCTGGAATTTTCATTTTCTCATTCCATGACCTTTATAAAAAGATTACATAGTAAATACCTCTGCCAGTTTGATGCTTGCAAAACATTTGAACCATGTAAAAAAAATAAGTTATTTCTTTTACTAGATGATAGAGTTTGTAAGTTTGTGTCCTCTCTATCCCCCCACACACCCTTTTTTTTTTTTTTTGGCTTTGGCTACTAGGGAGATCAAAAGAAAATTTCTGCTCACTTACAAGTCACTCCCTTCAGTATGTTTCCTCTCCATCCTGCCAATTACACAGTTCTTATTTCTCTATCCAACTATTAATGACTCTATTGAATATGTATCTCTTATTCTAACTTCCCTCAAATGATACCTTGAATATTTGTATACTGGTGGAATATAATCAGTAAAATGAAAGAGTCTCACCATGTCCATAAAATGTGTTCCTACCTTTCTCCACACTTTGAAATACTCAAATCTTCATATTGACTAAAATAAAAATGTTTCCTCATTTCTCCCATGGAAAACTAACTCTGAAATAGTAAGTGCTGCAAGTTTGACTAAGTGAGTGAAGAAAGAATGTTTCTGGAGGAACAAAAAGGTCAGTGGCAAAATACAAAATGTAAATGACAGAGCACAAAAATGGCATTCGCAAAGTCCTAAAAATTAATGAAAACTACATGAATACTTTCAGGATGAAATGCTGGAAAAGTCACAGCACTAACTCACAAGTGAATAACAATTCATTATGGAGGCTGGTAAATTCTTGTAAAGCGAACATAAGGGGGAAAAATGTCTCTTATGGCATCCCTTAGTTTTCCTGAGAGTTGGTTATTTGGGCGTGGGGTGGTGGTAATTCTTACAGGATACTAACAGCAGAATTTCTAGAACAAACTGAATGGCTAATTTTTTTTTTTTAAAGAAGGGCACAAAGTCTTCATCTTTTTATAAAAACGGTTTGGCTGATATTATGCTGCTTCTGGTTCAAGGAACCAATTTACTCCATTGAGTAAATCCCTACATGAAAGCTAGAGCTTGATTATCAAAAACCCAAATCCTTAATATTCTAGCAATTTAAACTTGATAGACATGACAACAATGCAAATTTAAACTGTTACAATAGACTAATTGGAGTTGATTGAACAGAGTCTAAAAGATTCAGTACATTAGCTGTGGTTGCTATTAATTTTAGTTTAGGGGAGTTTTTCAAAAGCAGCCTCCTGGCAACAAGGGGAAAACCTCATAAAGGTTTCTGCTAATTCCCATGATCAAGCTGATGGAAAAAAAACTGAAGACATACAAAGTGAGTTCTGAAACACACTTTGAAGTCTAATACACGCATATCATGATACCAATGCAAACTGTGATCTCAAGATGCTCAGATGGTCATTTATAGTTGATGACAGAGCTGGACTTTCTCATTCACTTGATTCACAGGCAGGGACAATAAACTAAATGGATATGAAAAATAAAGACGATTTCTTTGCATTTGTAACTGATTTGTAATTACGACTATTATTACTAACTATTGTGCTCTTTGTTCCAGGCACAGTGCTAAGCAATTTTTATATATTGAAATATATTGACTTAATCCTTAGAATAATCCTATGAGGTGGTGCTTTTATTATCCTCATTTTATAGATGAAGAAATTGAGGCACAGAGAGGTTGAGTAATTTGCTTAAAGGGCAAGCAGTAAACTGCAAAGCTAGGATTCAAACTCATGCCTTCTGGTTCCGGAGCCTTTACTCAATGCTACATTGTTGCCAAAGTCCATCCCAGATGTCTTTACCAAAGGGCATCTTGCCTTAAGCAAACAAGATCCATAAAAGCCTGATTCCCTACAAATAAATAAACATACCAATAAATAAAAATACACAAGCACTCTTATGAGATACCCATTAAGTACCTTTGCCATCCAATACTTCTCATTCACATAAAAAAATTTAATAATAATTTTTAAAAGATCATTTTATGTTAAAGAGACACTTAAAGGAAGATGCTTCAGAGAGGAAGAGTAGAACCGTGGAAAATTCAAACCAGCTTACTACTGCTATCTGCTTCTGTTGTCAACTTTCTGCGACGCAAAATCCTTTCTAACTCAGTTTCACTGTTTTCAATGTGAAGGGATTTTAAGCTTCTTGAACTAGTGGATTTGTTAAGTGTCCCCTAAAGTGAAAACAAAACAAAAACAAAAACAAAAAGGTTAATGTCTTAATACAATACACAAAAGAATATAAAAGTCAAACCACCAAAACATTACCAGAATTTGAATGGAATTAGGAACTAAAATGAATTTGCTATATATGTATTTTTAATGTGCATATCTTTAACACACAGTGTTGGATCATTTAAGAAGATGCTACTGATGATGTAAGATGTTAGCTTTCGTAGCAAAAGAATAGCACAAGAATAACTCTTGATGGGCTAACTATATGAAATTCAGTGGTGGGAAGGTACTTGCACATTGATGATTAAGATTCTGATGTGTGTTGGTCGACCACGCGGAGAAGAAAACAGATATACTGAACTCACCTTAGAAGGTTATCTTGACATGGCAGCCATGAGTTACTGCCCCAAATCCTTGCGGCACTGAAAAATGTGGCCGATTCTTCAGAGAGAATGACCCTGGCCGCACACCTGGTGACAAGGCGTGCTGCCGAAGGAAGCACATAACGCTCTCCGGCGGCCTAACCCAGGAGGTGCTACGCTGAGCACACCTCGCTTCTCTGTGAAAGAGCAAAGGCTACAGTCTACAGGGAGGCAAGGAAGGGCCGGCGCCGTAATCCCACACTCCTGAACAGAGGAGGCAGTGAATGAATGGATTACTCAGCACCCGGAAGACACTGAAGGAAACAAGAGATGCCATAAAGCTGTGCTCCTGCTGAAAGGCGTACTGACTTTCAAGAGGACAGAGGAAGACCCAGGCAGTGCTCCCCTGCCCTGGCTCCTCCAGGAAGTATGTTATGGAGGGAGAGCTACGGTCTTCTATCTCCATTACCAGCCAAGTGTTTGTACAGAACACTGGGTGACACACTTCTTCGTAGATTTAAGGGGTAAGGATTTAGCACCCCACCATTACAAGTGGTCCATTTTCTTTTCTAAGAAATGCCCCCTATTTCTTTGAAAGAGCCCTCCTCAGCTGTGCCGCAGGCTTAGGGGGGAATAAAAACCCAGCTGAACCACAATCTTTTGATCAGAGAAAATCAGAACCTCAAGTCAGGTATAACTTGCCAGACTTCAGGCCAGAGTCGGAAGGCAGGCTTTGTCCACCCAGGCTAACAAGTAGGCCAGCCTTTGTCACTTCAGCTCACTATGGGCTTGCCTGAACGCTGCTCCCTGCCCCTGCCAACTCCCTGAACGATTCTAAGAATCCTACTAGCTAAAATGGTAACTCATGTTCCTTCTTTAACCTATAAAACAAAAAAAGTAGCTTGTAAAATTAGGTAGTTACAAATCTCACATGATATAGGTTATTATGTTGGTTCAGTTAGAAAGGTGTTTTTCTCCCTAACTGCACAAAGTTATAGAAAAGCAGTCTGTTGCTGGGAAAACTGACCAACAAGATTAGGAGATTATATTCCTCTGCTGTCAGCTAGCTAACCAAAACTGATGTGTAAAATTCTTAAGGCTCATATTTTAATCAGGCATCTGATACTTTCCCCCTGGAAGAACCTCTTTCTACTTTGGATTTATTGCAAAAATTCATAAAATACATTAAAGGAAAATCATATTACATGTAACACTATAATAGCTTATTTTATAATTTAAAAAATTAGATGATTTCTTTATTTAACAGTTAACAATGCAGATCTGTACCCACTCATCAAAGAGTTATATAGTAAGGTAGGATTAACACTGATAAGGTAACGAAAACAGAACTAAAACCAATTCAGATAGATTTTTTTTAATGCATTAGAAAAACTATTCCCAAATCATTTGTGTTTATAATTTTTAAAAAGTTCTATCATTTGTAAACAGAAAAACTTATGGCCCTTACTAAAATCACTCAAACTACCAGACTGTTTGAACATCAAGGACATTCTGTGTGATTTTCCCAATGGCTAGAGTTAATTCAAGAAAAAGATATGTGTCTGTGTATGTGTGTATGTACATGTACATACACATATACCTTCCAAGGATATCTTTTATTGAAGAATTTACCTTTCACAAGAGTCTCTATTTTTGTTTGGATAACCGCATTACTTCCCCAAACTCCTGACTGTGGTGAGCTATCCTCTCATCGCACCTGATACTGAAGGAATTCATTTTCCAAGTTCTAATCCTTGAATTCCCAATTTTTTTCTCCATTCACTGACCAAGGCGGTTGACTAGGTTAGTATAGGAGCAAACTTTAAATATGGAGGCAATTATGGAGGAAAGGTTTCTGTATGGATCTCAACCGACGTGATAAAGGAGCTCAGCTAATGAAGTACCAAGACTGTCTTAATTATCTACTTATATTATAATCATAAAATTAGAGAAATCACAAATCACCACGTGGTACATACAATTCCTTCACTTCACAGAAAAGAGAATCCTATAAATCAGTGATCCTCAGCGTTTTGGGCCAGGTCCCACAGTAAGTCAGTGATAGGGCTGGACCTTGAACTTAACTTTTCTAATTTCTATTTCTACTCCAAACCGCTTTCATCATTTAACAGTCTTAATCCCCATGTTAGATAAATGTTCATAATACCAACAACTCTAATTGTCAGGGAACAAAATTAACTATTCAACAATCCCTGGGTAATTTGAAAAACTGAAGATGTTCAAAAAAGACCTAAAAGTGAATTTTTAAAAAGTTGTTCTTGTCTCTTTGATTTAGAGGCAACTGAACTTGAGAAGAGACTTTCTGATTAATTTCTGTTGATTTATTCTTTGGAAATGCCCATTTCCACTTAGAGTGGCTTTTAAATGGCTGGTGTGGCTCAAGAGGTTTGCGAAACCTAAAAAAAAAGAAACCCTTGTGTGACTATGAGAAATAGCTATATATTTTTTATCCACAAAATACACAACTTTAAAAATTAAGTGTAAATAGACTTGGAAGAATAAGTTCAGTCAACATTGAGACTTTAAAAATTGGCTTGAAAAGTGTACAACTCAAAAGACAGTGAGGTTTTCCAACTCCCCCAAACACGAGATGTGTTTTCTACCCATGTGCTAAGTTTCAGCAGTAGGCTTACAACTCAGGTCACTTTCATTGCAGTAAAAACACCCCCAGACTGAGTTCATTCCTGGTTTCTGTTTTGCAGTAGAACTGAACACAGAGCTTCTTGGTTTCTTGGCATCTCTTGGTACAGGTGCTCACTTTCCACTTCAGTACACAATCTGTAGACTTTTTATGTTCTTTTCATGTTTGTTTCTCACATGCCACAACTGTGAGGTTCGTGTCATGTACTTTGCTGGGTACTAAATTCTGATAATACTAATAGTCTGAACTCCAGCAAGAAGCACCAATAGAGCCCCATCTGATAGGGGCTTCCTTTCTCTCCTAAAAGAAGTATGGTTTATTGGCCCCAAGTGACTGGGAGTTACAAGTGATCCATCATCCCTCAAGGGAAACGTCTGTGGTAGTAGTGGAAAGTTGCCATTTGGCACAGAAGAGTAGGGGAGAGCATCGTGAGTTCCACTTTAAAAAAATTTAATGCAAAGAATAACAGCTATTAGTGATACACATTAATGCCATGTAAAGTAGAGAAATCTAATGATAAATCCAGGACAAAAGAGGATGAGGGCAATTTGAAGAAAAGAAAGATGTTTTGACAATTTTTATAATTTGTTAAGTTATTCCACAAAAATCTGTTCACAAATTTCTCTCCTTGAAGTGGCACAAAACTATAGTGAGTATGATTGTATAGTGAACATGATCTTTAAAAGCAATGCTGTGATTTTCAGTAAACTTGCTACCAACCAGCATTATCAGCAAGTGGGGTAACCTGGGTAATCAAATATCATATGTATCTCATGTAGATGTCTGATTTTTCAAATAACCTGACTTAAAAAACAAACAGTGAAGTTTACTCTTTCACTGAGGATCAGAACTATGACCCTAGAACCTCCAAATGCCCCTGGGGGCATTTTCATGAACAAAAATTAGCATTACAATGTAGAGACAACAAAAAGGACTGTCATAGGGCATACTCCTTAACAGAACACTGGATAACAAAATTTTCTCACCAAAGAATCCATTAGATAATAACTACATACTTTTTCCATGGTTTTAATACTTTATTCTGTAGGTAGACCACTACTGTTAGCCAGTGCTACATACCTCTCTTTAGTATTAATTCCACTCACCTAAAAACTATAGCAAACTAATTAAGCCATTCCGAGTTAAGTCTACCGTTTCATGCTTGATGAAAATAATTTTGTTTACCACAATTATGTGGATGTCTGCATGCAATGCATAATTAGCACAGTAACAACGAACATGGGAATATTAGCTCTACCTCCGCCCCCATGTTTGTTGACTTACTGTGCATAATAACTGGTATTGAGACTGTAACAAGATCTGAGAATAAAGCTCTTAGTATCCAAAACATTTTCTAAGTGAGGCATTTGTCTCCGACAGAAACTGTCAGACAGGGCAGTACTCATTTATTTTGTTGGCAAAATCTCATACTTTGGAAAGAAGAAATATGACTAGAGATGGGCATTAAGCATGTTCTCTAACGGATGTGAATTACTTTTAGAAAATGAAATTCGTAACATGAAGAAAGGAACTTCTATTATCCAAATTTATCATGACTTTTCAAAACTGTGAGAAAAGCAGACTATGACTCTGATGCTAAAATATTTGGGGAGAATCTCTGATTTATATTTAGGTGCCAAGAATTCCACTTTCATGCCCCAAAGTTAAGCACTATCCATGTGAGAGACTACTATACAATATACTATTATCTACTACCTTTATCGTAGATTTACTTATAAATAAATCTACTGTAATCTATGTATAGATTTACTTATAACATTATTTACTATATTTATATTTATAATATATCTACTATATAAGCATGTACTGATCCTCACATCTGGCCAGACACTTTATCTTCAAGTTGTAATACAAGTATTGGAGAACAAGAACAGGAAAGAATGATTTGCGGGAAAGTGTACCCATTCGTTTAGAATAGAAACAGCAGAGTACTGACACATTATTAACACACCCAATGGAGGAGTCCACAGCACAGTCAAGTAAACTATCAAAAGTAATGAGGCTTACTGTAAATGGAAATCAAATATATCAAAACCAATTATTCATAACAGTAGATTTTTAAAATATTCTTCCATTTTCCCATTAACTAAATAACAAACTGAGATCTATTCTTACCAGTATTCCTTTTAGTTCATTCACTGCACTTTCAGAGCCTTTTGAAGATTCTGGCTACAATTGTAAAAAAGAAGAAAAATGACTGAGTAATTCAGTTTTAAGATACCCAACAAAGACTTTTACATGGCAAAGAGTTGGTGGCTTATATTGACTACATTTTTTAAATTAGGTTTATGTCTTACGGTTAGTAAAAAATATTAGACATGCTAATGCTCCCAAGGAGCAGTTAAATAGAAAATTAGGTAAGAGCCAAGCTACCATCTTCTACACATCATTTTGTTACCTACTATCATCATATGTAGAAAAGATCTGGTAAACATTAAATTTCAAAGATTTAATTCCAAATTATTCAGAACATTTTACAATAAACTCTTCTTCACTCTCATTGCTGGACTTGAGCCAGCAAACGAGGACTAGGAAGGCAGGAGTGCAGAGCAGAAAGCAAGCAACAGGGCAGAGCACCTCTCAGCTCCGTCAGCTCCAGGCCAAGGCCAGCTTACAGAGGACTGGCACGTCTAGTTTCATGAATTTCACAACCGGGATCACAGGAGAATGTTAGCATCACCAGCTACCAGAGTAGTAAAAGACCTCAGAGGGCGTGCAGTCCAAGTACTTCATCTTACTTATGAGGAAAGTTACACTTTGAGGAATTCTGTATTTGAGTCAGGTGTCTCGATTACAAGCCCAGTTCTCATCTGGCTACACCACGAACAAAATAATTTGAAATGAAATTCTGGGTAATACCTGCCTGCCCCATAATACCACAGTCTTTGTGGACCCCTCAATGAAAAGATGGCTGAAAAAAAACCCTCTGATCTTCCCTGTACCACTTCCTTTCACAAAGGAGATGAAGAGAAAACCTACAAGACACAGTGAAAGGAATCACTCAGGCCTCTCATTTCTAGAAAAGAGGCAAGGCTTATCTTTCATCAAGAGATGGGAGGTGATTAATGGCAACCTATAATTCTTTCCTCTCAAAAGATAATAAAAGAATAAGATCCTATTCCAATTTTTAAAAACGTACAGTTAGAAAAAGTGAGAGAGAGGTTTGCTGCTCATGTACAAATTAAACTAAGGTGTTCAACTTTCATAGCCTCCGTTTTCTGTGAAATACACATGCCATCAGTGGCAGTCACAAGTGCCAGTCAAAAGCTCTAAGACACTAATTTTAACCACACCAGCACCACCACCAACATCAAGGAATTTAGTAATACGCAGTTAAATTAGTACTCTCAAGGCAGGCTTGACTTCTGTAGGTAAGCTGTTCGGTGACATGTTACGACTTCTGAACAAACACCCTGCCTAAAGGCATACTCAAAAGTGCTGCTATGCCACTCAAGTTGCCCTCTGACTGCACAAGCCTTTTCAAAGCCTGGACTGCATACTCTCATAACTGGTGACATTTCAGGAAAGTACTGATGGTACTGGGGGAAGAAGTCTGCACTGAGGCATGCAGTGACCATTTGTTTTAAAGGTTACTGACCAGGTCATTCACCACTATATCTACACAGTTTTAATGATTAAGAGCAAAAAAACCCAAAACAAAACAGTTGTCCACTGATCCTTGTTCAGCTGTCCTCCAGATTTTGAACTGACATTAAATAATGTGTAACTGTTGAAAGAGTCACGGCAAGAAAGAAAAAGGACAAAGTGATATAACGAAAATGAAAGTACATACAGAACACTTACGATTTAAGAAGTTTTCAACATTTTTCTTTCTAAACTAATTTTGTTTCTTTTACGACACTGCATTTTTCTCTAGTAATAATTTGGTTTTGCTATTCTTTCCAAACTAGTTGTGACATGAAAGCCATAAAAATGTATTATTATCTAAGATTCTACTTAGACCCTTCATTTTAAAGTGGTTTCACATTTTACTCTATTTGACCCTAACAACAACCGTGTGAGCCAGAGAGGGTATCTTATGGAGAAGAAGCCCGGGAAGCTGGGTGATAGTGCAAGGACCCGACTCCAACAACAGTGCTCTTCACTCACTCATCAGACACTGGCACTGAAAGAGCTGTGCCCAACTATCTACATGCTCAGCTTCTCGTCCAGTTCTACATTCTGCTTATTTGCTTTCAGAGCTCTAGCACAAGACTGAATTACTCTCCACAGCTGGCTGAAGCTTCCATTTCCCTAGATGTGAATCTTCTCTTGGCGTGGAATGCTCGTTCCCTCTTCCCAACCCCCTTTCCCTGGACAGCCCACACCACGGCCATTCCTGCCTTGTCCAGTTATCTTGTTTGCCTGTGACAAAGTGGCAACTTTAAAAGCCCAGGTGAATTTCTAGTGAATAGTCATGACACTCGGGGACACTGAAGTAGCTGAAGAAGGGCATCCTTGAGAGTAAGAAAGGACCATAAAGTTTGGTTTAAAGGAAGAGGAAAAAGAAAGAGAAGCAATCTGCTGCTACCTTATTAGAGTGAGGAAGGAAAAAACATTTTTCAAGAAAAATGTCAAAAACTCTACTATTGAGTCTATTTAAATGGGACAGATATACAAGGGGAAGGAAAAGCTCTGAACTAGACACTAGGTACTTCCACAGACCCTGGAGCTCACTGTGGTCTAGCTTAGAAGACAGCTGATGATACAGATACACAAGTTTCTCCTTGAAGTGATCGGGAATAGGTCTGTGAAATTAATGGAAACAATCTTATAAACCTCACTATTTTTCAAAAGTTGTCTTAGGTCTGCTACGGTATATGATGTGATCCCCACACTCAGATTCCCCTCCCCCACGCACTAAAACAGAAGCCTCGGGAAGGCAAGGATCTTTGTGCCTTGTTTACTGCTTTACTCCCGGTGCCTAAAACAGTACCTGGCACATAGTAGATACTCAATAAATACTTGTTGAATTACACACAAGCACCAGGAATTGATGAAAATAAAGGGCGTGCTAATTGTTACTTGTTTGGTATAACAGTTCATATCAATGTCCCTCTCAAGGAGACGGCAGCACCCTGCAACCACAGGACTTACTTTCTGTAGTGACCTAGGTTTCCTATGGGTCAGAGTCCTTCTGAAAAGTGCTTATATGAAGCAAAGGCTTTTACGGCACATTAGACTTAACCCAAGATTTGACAGTCAATTCTGATGCAGCTTTCATCAGATTTCAAAATTTTACGTTAAAAAAAAGAAACATCAGGGGAAAAAAGCATTTAGTCATTCCATACCTTTGCCTTGGGTCTAGCTGTCTGATTAACTGGTCTGAGATGAACTCCCTTTTTAATTCTGTCCATCATCTCTTCAACTGCTTGCCTCTTCAGGTCTGTGACTTCTTCAGCTATTCAAAGAACACACACATAAATCATCTTATGTTACAAGAAAACTACTTCCTATTTCTGGTAACTTAGAAAGACTGCACTATGTAATTAACCACAGTCATTTTTCAGACAGAGTCACAAAACACCAATAATTTACTAAGGTTAACAGCTCCCAGGTAGCAATATTTTTTTAATAAAAATCTTTTAATAAGAGATTTGCTTTGAGAAATAAGAGTTATAAAATTTAAGGTCTAATTTGTAGCCTGGAAATCAGTATTGGCTCATCTATGTTAAACAAAGTACATTTTGTTCCGTTTGTCAGCATAATAATAGACCTGAATTTCTCCAGGTCTTTAAAAACCTAATTTTGTACCTAACTCCAAATAACCATTCACTTTTGTCTCAAAGATGTTTTTGTAACTTATAGTACAACCTATGTCAAAGAAATCCAACCAAAGCAGGAATAACTATCAAAAAGCCCATTTGAAAATAAAAGATCAAAGAGATTTTTTTACCTGTTGGAAGAAATCCACAGTCAAAAGATGAGCAGCAAATAGATAAAATCTATTTTTAAATTGCCATCTTTTGTTTAGGAATCATATGGGAAGGAAACATTTAACCAAACCTTTTTCAAGTCTTTTAAAATTGTCAATGTTAAAAGAAAACATACATCCAGAAATGACTGCAGTTAAGTAATTAAATTTGATAAAAAATTTCAACTGTCTATTGTTTAATCTTTACACTCTTTGGCTGCAAAAACAATAAAGCTGTTGAAATATGTATCAACTAGATGAATGCAACTGAGGTGAGCTGAGACCTATTGGTCAGAAGAGTGAAATTTGTCTCTTGCACAACAGCTTAACCAAAAGCACCAAATCATTCTGGAACATTTATCACCATTAATGCAGCTCTAGATCTTGTGTTTACCTCCAGCTAACTCACTGTATCCAATACATTCAAGTTTAAATATCTCATAAAGACCCTCCAACAGACTCCACGTTGTGGGGCAGGCATATGGTAGGCATTCAGCAAGCATCTACCTACTGACTGACTTGTTAAAGTTCGAGCTTTAAATGGCTATCAATAGTTTTACTATTTGAGCAGAAATAATTAAACCTCAAAAGAATGGCTTCTAAATGGAGGCAATCACAACTATATCCCCCAGCTAATTCACAGTCGTGTCAGGCTTTGCGCTAAGGAGGCCGAAATCATGGCTTCTTTTACTGCAATATGGCAGACTTCACTCTAATCCTGGTTAGCTATTCCTCTTATACATGCTGAGGGGAGCAACTTAGAGAATCCAGAGGCTCCATTATCCTCCACTCTGCAACATCACAGTGATGGGATCACTGCTATATTCATCATATAACCTAGGTTTTCTAATATAGTCCTGATTTCAAATAGTGTTGTCATCCTCAGAAGCCACTGAAATGCTGGGAATTCAAATTTCTCAATATCCAAACAGCATTTTTCAGTTCCAGAAGTCAAAAGAGTATCTTTTGTGAGGCAACATGGGAGACATGGCACCAAGGTCAGAACTCATCCACCAATAAACGAAAAGACAACAAAGCTGTGGGTTGATCAACTATGTGCCCTTAAGCAGTATTTTCTAAGGCAACCTCTGCTGATGGCTCAGAAACATGTTCAACAAGGGGACAGACAAGAAAATTACTATGAACAGAGATTCACTCATTCATTCATTCACCGACTCACTTATTCAATATCTGAATACCTATTATGCACTACATGGTACTTTTGCTGACCATTTTCAAAATCAGAGGAAATAAGACACAGATCTGTCATTCAAGCACCTGGTATGGGTATGGAATTTATTCCAGGGAATTTAAAAAAATCTTCAAAACCCATTCGATTTTCAGAAAGGCTGCCATTTTGAGCAAGACTTGGGAAGAGCTGCATGGCAACAGGAACATCGCCTACAAACAGATTAGCACTCTGTAAGGAACGACTAAAACTCAATTAAATGCACAAAACAAAAACTAATTAAGGCAGACAGATGGAGAATTATGGTCAACACCATTCAAGTCTGCTGCAGCATCTAACACAACAGGAATTTAAAGTAGTTTCTTATTTTTGCTTGCCAGAATCACAGTGATAATTCAGAGAAGTGCCACTATCTGTATTGTGTACAGATTATAAACCAGGCTCGTAAAATTTTCTCAGTCTTTTTCAAACGTAAAGGCTTAATTGGTCTTAAGGAAAAGAAATCACTCTTATCAGATTCCCTACTCAGGCACAACACAAGGGCAATGGCTAGGTTAGCTACACAAGCTTTCTCTCTCACCGACCCTGTTTTTGAACTAGCAAAATGCAATCTATACGAACTTCTGAACTATTAAGCAGTTCTAACAAATCTGCAAGAATCACCTACAGAGAGCTCATGGTATGTTTTGTGATTCTTTTCTGCAATCACGCAGTTGGTAATTGTTTCACAAAAGCATGTAATCAGGGGGACAACAGAAATATGCAGGATACTGGAGATTAAAGAAGAGGGACAAAGGAAGACAAGGGGTCTAATGTTATTGAACTGCCACAGGAAAATAAAATCAAATGTTCTTTGAGTTAGTGCTTCCAGGTCAGTCTTGGATCAGAAAGCTACATGTAATTAATTGAGGCTTAAATTTTAAGACCCACTTGAAAAATAAGTTAGTTCCTCAAAAAAAAAAAAGACCCACAGACAAAACCATCACCTTATTGCTCAATAAAACCTTTTGGTATTATCTAGAGGAAACTAAAATGAATTTTTAAATGTCACAGGTTTACTTTTCTCTTTCAATAACATTTTTTAAAAGGCATTAAAGAAAATCTTATGGCACTGTGATGCACAAAATTTCTAAAGAACATATCATAGTTGAATAAGTTTGGATTTGACCTACAGTCATAAAGTTAAGAAAATTTCCTTAACTACAATGATCACAAGAGCCTGCTGAATGAGGACTTCTGCCCTTCAGGGTGACTGGTACCATGCCTTTTTTTTTTTTCTTTTAGGTAACATTTTGAATATTTTCTATGTCATGGGCACTACTCTAAATGCTTTACATGTTGTGAGACTCATAATTCTCAAAACAACTCTATGAAATAGGAACTATTATTCCCATTCTACAGATTAGCAAACTGAGGTAAGAAAATATCAACAAATTAATGACCTAAATATATGATAAACAGCAGGCATACCTCTCAAATCTCAGAACTTGTCCAATAAATGCATTCTTATCAAAATTAGAGTTATTAACTGCAAAGTATGTAATGATTTCTTGTGTTTAGATCTTAAAACTACTTCTAAAATATTTCACAGACCTTCCCTACAATCAAGCTTTTTAAGAGTCATAACCCAACAATAAAAGTTTCTCCATTCATAAGCTCTGAAAAACATACCAACTGTATAGCAAAAGCCATCATACGATGCTAATATAAGAAAACACTGTGATAGCAAGACTGGTTCCCATGTTATAAATGAAAACTCCAAAGTGTCTCAGATGACCCCAATATTGATGCTCTACATTCATTCATCATGTCTTTAATCGCTGTTGATCCACTCAACAACTATTTTTTAGTGTGAATGATTAACAAAACACTATAAACTACCTTGCCAGACAGAGCAAAGTACGGCTATGGTACCTATCATTTAAGGCAGTATGATTTTAGGGCGGCCCCAGTTTAAAAATCTCCTGATCAACTTCTGTGTCTGTAACTATTTAGATTCCCAAAGTAACAATTCAATAGCTCAAGGATGAGGGGGAAAATGCTGCCACATTTCATGAATTGTAAATGAAATATCATTTTCATAAGGAAAACTGCATGGTTTCTAATACTGGGAGTTAATAAGTTCTAGAACACATCTTTTTAAATTTAAGGGTGCTGTTGAGGTTGATAAGCTAATAATGTAATTTACTGAGAAGGGGAATTTATTTTATTCTGACTGCCTTCTTGACCCTCTAAGACTTAACCAGTTTTCCCAAAACAAGACCGAAACAAACAAAATTTTAATCTTAATTACAGTGCCAGGGGAGGCTTAACAGCCAGTAACCCAAGAGCAGGGCTGCCCTGCAAATCACCAAAGGCAGGACTTCGAAATCCTGCAATGCCTTGGCAAAGCAGAATTTGCCTTTTAGCTGCATTACAAGGGGCTGTAGGAGGCAGGGGCAGAAAGTCAGTTCATACAGATGATAAAATCAAACAGCTTTCGTTTGTAATGGTGCTGCAAGGTTCTTGCTAAGAAGAAAAGACCAAGTCTAAACTTTGATTCATTCAATATGCATGAAAGCTGTGGGAGGCTGCAGAGAGAAGTAAACCCTCACAGAGCCTGCAATCTGTTCGGAGGAGAGATGTGGAAATAACCCCAACACCAGAGCAGAGGCTGGGGGGTGGGACATTAAATCCTCACAGTAACAAAATTTGAAGTAAACTGCTATAGCAACACACAGTAATGAGCCATTCATTCTGGATTATTAATACTCATAAATAAAGGAAGAGGAGGAAGAGACTGGGAACACACCAGACAATATGCTGAAACCTGAATGGGAGACATGGAATCAGAACAGTACCTTGCTAGAGGACGGGCAGGAGGGCAATTCTGGAATGAGGAAAGACAGGAACAAATGCACAGAAGGCTTAGACGTAAGGGGCCAGCCATAAGGTGAAACAGATGTAATGAGAAATGAGGCTAGAGTAAAGGCAGAGAACCATCTCTAAGCAGACAGGGTTTGAGATTCTATTCTGAGGCAGGGAGAAGCATAGAAATGGGATAAGATGTAGGACAACATAATGAGACCTGGCGTCTGAGAACACGGCACTGCAGAGGTATGAAAATGGCTGGGGCGGGGCAAGGAGACCCGGAGGCAGGAAAAGGGGGCCAAGAAGTTTGCACCCATTTGGGCTTGAACCAGGCTAACCTACCATGCTCCATAAGTAAAACAGGTTGAACAAACACTGCTGAGTTTAATTTGGGTTCTATGGTCCTCAGGCATAAAGGCCCAAGATCTGGGGCCAGCATTTCAAGCTTCTGCTCTCAGTGTGGGTCCACATCAAACTGCCCACAGCTCTGTGCACTGACTCTGCACCTACCCACCTGGGGCCTCTGCTCAGCAGCAAACCTCTTCTCTCTCCATCCCCATCTCTTCCTATTATCCTCAGCTTCTCCCTCTCCAAAGAATCACAGGGTCCTGTGAATTTTACCTCCCTAAACAGCTCCTGAATTTATCCATTTCTTTCTCTCTCTACTACTACCACCCGCATCTCAGCCCCATCAACATTCACCTGAATGAGTGCAACAGTCTTCCCTCATCCACTATCATTCCTGTACAGTCTGTTCTCTGTTCTCTCACTGCAGCCAGTGTAATTTTTTACAAAGGACAAATCTCATCATGTTACACTCCTACTTAAACTTCTACTGCCCTTAGGATAAATATCAAAATCTTGACCACCGCCTCTAGAATCTGGCTCCTGTCTACCTAGTAGACTTCCTCTCTTGCACCCCATGTTCTAGTAATATCAACTTTCTTTCAGTTTCCTAATATGCCAAGCTCCTTCCCCACTCTGGACCTTTGAATTGTTGCCCCTCTATGTGATCTATTTTACCATATATACCCTGACCTTCAAAATCCACAACTACTCAGCTTAAATTTCACTTGCTGACATCAGTAGTCCACCTCCATAATCTCTTAGATCAGTACTGATAACCACTCCTCCACAGTACTGATCAAAAAAATGTATTTAAATAATTATATATTGCACTGGTAATTACGTGTTTACTTCCTATCTGCCCCACTCAAATGTGACTTTATGTCTTGTATCTCCAGTACAAAGCACTGGAGAGAACACAGAAAGTGCTTGACAAAGTCTCAGTTCATTGCTATCAACTCTAAAAAGCCTTTCCCCAGGACTTCCCTGGTGGCGCGGTGGTTAAGAGCCCACTTGCCAGTGCAGGGTTCACGGATTCGATCCCTCATCCGGGAAGATCCCATATGCTGAGGAGCAACTAAGCCCATGCGCCACAACTGCTGAGCCTGTGCTCTAGAGCCCAGGAGCCGCAATTACTGAGCCCACGTGCTGCAACTACTGAGCCCACGTGCCACAACTACTGAAGCCTGAGCACCTAGAGCCCGTGCTTCGCAACAGAAGAAGTCATTGCAATGAGAAGCTTGTGTACCACAATGAAGAGTAGCCCCTGCTCACCTCAACTAGAGAAAGCCTGCGCACAGCAACGAAGACCCAACACAGCCAAAAATTCATTAATTAACTAATTTAAAAAAATAAACATAAGGAGTGGTGATTGTATAGCACAGAAAATACAGCCTATATATATATATATATATTTTAAGACCTTTCCCCAAATCCTCATTTGGAATTACTTCCTCTCTTTCTTTTACACCCCAAAGTACCTCACCCCTTAATGAAAACACATTTCCCAGCATCCCTCGCATTACAGTGATATGTGTGAATGTTTACCCGCTCTAGACAGTAAGCTACGTGAAGACAATGACTGTTCTTTGGTTCATTCTTCTAGCTGTTAAGTTCACATTTCTCCCCAACAATCTGTTCATAGTCAAAGAGCTAACAAGTATGTCTACTGTTGAAAAACTGTACACCACCAACAAAAAGTTAACCAAAGGGGTGGGGTGAGAATTACCTGTTTCTGGTTGAGCTGCCTTTTCTTTCTTAGCACCACTGCCACTGGGGTGGGATCGCTTCCGGATCATGGACATGAGGGATCTTTAGGAGAAAGAAAAAGATCAACAGGATTAGTGGATGCCTTATGATCCAAGAAATAAAATGTATAGATTCTAAGTAATCAGTTAAAATCCAACTCTTCTCTAAGTGCATGAATATATAACTAGAATTTAAGTAGCCTACTTTCCACTTTAATAAACTGTTAAATTTTTAAGAAAGAGAAAGATGTCTCACCCCTTTACTGTGTAAAAACCAAACTAGTTACTGGGAGAAGGGGGCTGCTAACACTATTACTAATTTTATGCAGAGACATCTGCAAAGTAAAATAGATAGAGAAAACCTTTCAATATCCATATTTAAAATTCAGAAACAGCTATCTATGTAATACATTTGAGGGAGAGGGAAGGAAAAAAGAATTAGGGGATGTTTTGGTAAATATCTATTTGCGAAATATGGGCATAAAAACATCTGAATCTGCACAACATAGACCAGATACTTCAGGGATAACATATATTCAGACCACTGTCTCTCTGGTCCATGTTTCAAAAATCTGTGTAAAATCCAAATCATGATAAATTTGACATGAAAATTTAAAACCTCCATATATTAAAAGACATCATAAAGAATAAAAAGAAACTCTACAAATCAATGAGAAAAAGCACACACCCAACAGAAAAAAAGGACAAAACCAAGAAACCCCATAAAAAAGGATGTCCAAATTTCCAGCACACAAACAAACAGGTTCTTGACTTCTTTAGTTATTAGGAAATCACAAATAAAAGCCACATTGAGGTTTTACTACACACTCATCAAATATGCAAGAAATTTTAAGTCTGATAATATCAAGTGTTGGTAGGTTTGTGGAGTAACAGGAATTCTCAAACTGAAGATGTATAAATTGATAGCACCACTTTAGGAAACTGTTCAGCATGAAAATAGACATATCCTATGAGCCAGTGATTCAACTTCCATATATATTACAGAAATACAAGCACTTGTGCACCAGGAAGCATGTACAGGAATGTTCATGTAGAATTTCCATAACTTCCCTGAACTGGGAATGACTCAAATGTCTATCAGTATTACAATGGATAAACACATTTTGGGACATTCATAAAGTGGGTTACGTATCAATGAATATGAATGAACTTTGGCTACATAAAATAATATGGATGAATCTTACAAAATAATATAAAGTGAAAAGAAAAAGACACAAAGGAATACACTACAATTCCAATTATATAAAGTCATAAACAGACCGTATATGTATTTACAGTAGTTTAGGGATATGTATATAGGCAAAAAAACCCTTTTCTTTAAGAAAAGGATAAAAGGATAGGACTTGAGGGTACTAGCATTGTTCTATTTCTTGATTTTGATGGTGATTACGTGGATACTCATTTTATATTATTTTAAACTGTACATAAGTTTGTGTACACTTCTACATGTATATTATCACCCCCACCAAAAAAAAAAAATGAATCAAGAACTCTGAAATTCTTTCAACTACATTATGAATGTCTTCAGTGTGGTAAACTGGATTTGACAAAATACAGTCCTGAGGAAGACAAACTGGGAAGAGAGGCATAATGCTGCCTGCAGAAAAAGGGGCAACTGGATACACGGTACTATTTGCTCTGAGGACAGAACAACGTGATGTTCCTTAACCACTATCATTTTTAGGTTTTTTTTTCACTTCTTACTTCTGTCTTTGGTTATATTATTAATCCCCTCCCTAACTGCCTTTTCTTAAAATTCTCACACATACTGAACAATCTCCCACAAAGCATAGCATAAAGAAAGTGCTACATCCTAGTCTACCCTGTGAAGTTTCCAGGACTTACCAACTGGGAAACAATCGGTCACTGAGCTTTTAACTTCATCTAGTTTGTCTTCTTTGGGCTCATAGTGGCCCAAAATGTAATTAAATTATTTTCACAAAACTTCTAATTTGCACAGAACTTTAAAACAAGTACATTTTAATCCATAAGGTGAGGGAATTAAATGATGCAAACTTTATTTTTTCCATTCTGTCAACTGAAGACAGAATATTCAATGTCTACTTGTTAACATTCCATAGAAGGGTGGGGTTTGCGGAGGGCTCTCACTAATCAGAGGCCTCTCCTCATTCTGTAATGATCCCATCTCTGGTTCTGAGGGGAAGTTTTGAGAATGTGTATTATTGTACACAAAGATTACAAAGCAAGAAGTTATTTGTACTGTTCAGAACAGTTGTATGTATTTACATAAATGAACTAAGAATATATGTCCAACACTGCAAACCACCTAAGTAGATAAGAGAAAGTGCTAGCTTTAAATGTTCTGAAGTATAAGTTGAAGACTGATACGGTGTCCACAGGGAAATCATCTGTAATATTAAAAAGAACTGTCAAGATGTTGCTTAGACTAAAGAGAAAATATCAATAGATAGTGTGAGTTTCACAGGACAGATGAGAAGACCAGGACAAGACATCTGGGACCAATCATCCAAACCTCTGGCTAAAACTGCCCCAGGTGGAAAATATTCACCTTGAAATTCTTCAAGTGTTCTTCACACCCACTGTGAGGGTTAATTTATGAGTCAACTTGACTGGGTCATGGGGTACTCAGATAAATGGTCCAACATTATTCTAGGTATTTCTTTGAGGGTTCTGGATGAGATTAACATTTAAACTGGTAGCCTGAGTGACTGTCCTCCCTAATGTGGGATGGGCCTCCCTCAATCAGTTGAAGGCCTGAATACAACAAAAGGTGACCCTCCCCCAAGTAAAAGAAAATTCCTCCTGCCTGACTGCCTTGAAACTAGGACATCTGCTCTGTCCTGCTTTTGACTCAAACTGAAACACTGCCTCTTCCTGGCCTGCTGACCTTCAGACTGAAACAATGCCACAGGCTCTCCTTGGTCTCCAGCTTGCTGACTCACCCTGAAGATCCTGGGACTTGTCAGCCTCCATAGTCATGTGAACCAATTCTTGAGAATACATTCTCTTTTGATGTGTATGTACACATGTACACACACACACACACACACACACACACACACACACACACACACACA